AAGGTCCTTTGCTGTTGTTCTGGGATTGATTTGCACTTTTCACACCAAAGTACGTTCATCTCTAGGAGACAGAACGCGTCTCCTTCCTGAGCGGTATGACGGCTGCGTGGTCCCATGGTGTTTATACTTGCGTACCAATATTTGTACAGATGAACGTGGTACCTTCAGGCGCTTGGAATTTGCTCCCAAGGATGAACCAGACTTGTGGAGGTCTACAATTTTTTTTCTGAGGTCTTGGCTGATTTATTTTGATTTACCCATGATGTCAAGCAAAGAGGCACTGAGGTTGAAGGTAGGCCTTGAAATACATCCACAGGTACACCTCCAATTGCCTCAAATGATGTCAATTAGCCTATCAGAAGCTTCTAAAGCTTCTGGAATTTTCCAAGCTGTTTAAAGGCACAGTCAACTTTGTGTATGTAAACTTCTGACCCACTGGAATTGTGATACAGTGAATTAGAAGTGACCAATCGGTCTGTAAACAATTGTTGGAAAAATTACTTGTGTTATGCACAAAGTAGATGTCCTAACCGACTTGCCAAAACTATAGTTTGTTAATAAGACATTTGTGGAGTGGTTGAAAAACGAGTTTTAATGACTCCAACCTAAGTGTATGTAAACTTCCGACTTCAAATGTATGTGTGTGTGTATATATATGTGTATAAGAAAAAGAAAAAGCAATTTCTCAGACTGGCCAATAAAAAGAAAAGATTAAGATGGGCAGTCTGAGATACAGTGGGGCAAAAAAGTATTTAGTCAGCCACCAATTGTGCAAGTTCTCCCACTTAAAAAGATGAGAGAGGCCTGTAATTTTTTATCATAGGTACACGTCAACTATGAAAGACAAAATGAGAAAAAAAATCCAGAAAATCACATTATAGGATTTTTAATGAATTTATTTGCAAATTATGGTGGAAAATAAGTATTTGGTCAATAACAAAAGTTTTGTCAATACTTTGTTATATACCCTTTGTTGGCAATGACACAGGTCAAACGTTTTCTGTAAGTCTTCACAAGGTTTTCACACACTGTTGCTGGTATTTTGGCTCATTCCTCCATGCAGATCTCCTCTAGAGCAGTGATGTTTTGGGGCTGTCGCTGGGCAACACAGACTTTCAACTCCCTCCAAAAATTTTCTATGGGGTTGAGATCTGGAGACTGGCTAGGCCACTCCAGGACCTTGAAATGCTTCTTACGAAGCCACTCCTTCGTTGCCCGGGCAGTGTGTTTGGGATCATTGTCATGCTGAAAGACCCAGCCACGTTTCATCTTCAATGCCCTTGCTGATGGAAGGAGGTTTTCACTCAAAATCTCACGATACATGGCCCCATTCATTCTTTCCTTTACACGGATCAGTCGTCCTGGTCCCTTTGCAGAAAAACAGCCCCAAAGCATGATGTTTCCACCCCCATGCTTCACAGTAGGTATGGTGTTCTTTGGATGCAACTCAGCATTCTTTGTCCTCCAAACACGACGAGTTGAGTTTTTACCAAAAAGTTATATTTTGGTTTCATCTGACCATATGACATTCTCCCAATCCTCTTCTGGATCATCCAAATGCACTCTAGCAAACTTCAGACTGGCCTGGACATGTACTGGCTTAAGCAGGGGGACACGTCTTTCACTGCAGGATTTGAGTCCCTGGCGGCGTAGTGTGTTACTGATGGTAGGCTTTGTTACTTTGGTCCCAGCTCTCTGCAGGTCATTCACTAGGTCCCCCCGTGTGGTTCTGGGATTTTTGCTCACCGTTCTTGTGATCAATTTGACCCCACGGGGTGAGATCTTGCGTGGAGCCCCAGATCGAGGGAGATTATCAGTGGTCTTGTATGTCTTCCATTTCCTAATAATTGCTCCCACAGTTGATTTCTTCAAACCAAGCTGCTTACCTATTGCAGATTCAGTCTTCCCAGCCTGGTGCAGGTCTACAATTTTTTTTCTGGTGTCCTTTGACAGCTCTTTGGTCTTGGCCATAGTGGAGTTTGGAGTGTGACTGTTTGAGGTTGTGGACAGGTGTCTTTTATACTGATAACAAGTTCAAACAAGTGCCATTAATACAGGTAACGAGTGGAGGACAGAGGAGCCTCTTAAAGAAGAAGTTACAGGTCTGTGAGAGCCAGAAATCTTGCTTGTTTGTAGGTGACCAAATACTTATTTGGCTTTTTCTTTGCAACTCTGCCTAGAAGGTCAGCATCCCGGAGTCTCCTTTTCACTGTTGACGTTGAGAGTTTTGCGGGTACTATTTAATGAAGCTGCCAGTTGAGGACCTGTGAGGCGTCTGTTTCTCAAACTAAACACTGTAATGTATTTGTCCTCTTGCTCAGTTGTGCACCGGGGCCTCCCACTCCTCTTTCTATTCTGGTTAGAGCCAGTTTGCGCTGTTCTGTGAAGGGAGTAGTACACAGCGTTGTACGAGATCTTCAGTTTCTTGGCAATTTCTCGCATAGAATAGCCTTCATTTCTCAGAACAAGTAGACTGACGAGTTTCAGAAGCAAGTGATTTGTTTCTGGCCATTTTGAGCCTGTAATCAAACCCACAATTGCAGAACTAGTCTCAAGAAGGCCAGTTTTACTGCTTCTTTAATCAGAACAGTTTTCAGATTTGCTAACATAATTGCAAAAGGGTTTTCTAATGATCAATTAGCCTTTTAAAATGATACATTTGGATTAGCAAACACAACGTGCCATTGGAACACAGGACTGATGGTTGCTGATAATGGGCCTCTGTATGCCTATGTAGATATCCCATAAATAAATCAGCTGTTTCCAGCTACAATAGCCATTTACAACATTAACAATGTCTACACTGTATTTCTGATCAATTTTATGTTATTTTAATGGACCAAAAAATTGCTTTTCTTTCGAAAACAAGGACATTTCTAAGTAACCCCAAACTTTTGAACAGTAGTATATATATATATATATATATATATATATATATATATGCGAGGAAAATAAACATATGGGGGATTGGAAGTGTTGCAGACAATTACATTGATGGAAGTTACAATCTATCTGCAATATTAAAGCTGATCAACCCCCAATAACAAAATTAAAATAAACAATAAAAAAAGATAACGTTAACTAGGTTAGCACATGCGAATTGAATTTTACTATGGTTACGGTAATCGTCTAATATTGTGATAACAAGTGATGATTGGCGTTGGTGAGGAAATACTTGACCATATGATGACACGCTTCTTTCAACATCAACGGAATTGTTTAAAATAGAGAGATATGTGAGCCATTGTTGACATGTTGGGAAATAATTGTAGATTTGCAGAGCATTTCCAGAATGGATCAATTTTGCTGCTGTTTTCTTTTGCATGGTGTGTGTGTATTGGTCCAGTTCTGCATAACATATCTTTGGTTAAATTAGGAATAAAAGATAACTTTCAAAATGACCACAAATCTGTATTGCCTTGAGAAATTTGTGAGCTGGTTGATTGAAATAAACTTTATTTTCGGAGTGATCCGGGTTGTAATATAAGTTGAGTTTATCTTTAACCTGATTAAATGTATCCACACATTTACGGTTAACTGTCTGGTCTGTGCTGTGTATTTCATGTGCCAATGACTGCTATTCCTGTATCACCTGTTTTGATTTTATTGTAGGCGAGGTGAATTCTGGATTTGCGTCTCTCAAACCACTGGATGAGGTCTATTAGGCTCTTTGCATGTTTAGCAATTAGAGAAAGTTGCTTCTGCAAACAGAGTTAACAACTTCTAAAACTCTTAAGACTGCGGTATTTGGAGAGATATGCTTCTCTGCCTCTACAAAGCGTGAGTAAAAGCGCAGGTGATATCCAAAAGATTTGTACCACGTACCCCATCGGGTTTTACATTGCTTGAGAGGAAACTGTGTCAGCAGAGGGGAACTTGTTTCGGTAATGTGTCTCTGAGATGCTCTTTGTATCTAAGCTTTCTGCCTGGGCAATGTTTGAAGATTTTATTGATGGTTGCAACAAGTTTGTCAACCTCTGGGAAATTAGTTTGCCAGATCTTGCTGGCAAGAGCCACAACGTGGGCATTGCCAGTCAAATGCAACAATTTGGTAACAACCCCCGCAGAATGTCATTGCATGCTTTCACCATGCATCTTGAATTGTCTGACACAAATCCAGTGACCTTTTTAAAAATCAACCTCAAAGTATTGTAGACATGTTTTAACAGTTTCAGACACGGTTGAATAGTTCACTCCCTATACACTGTATCAACCAGAACAACTTTTGCGTCTTCACCCAGCTCTCCTTGCAAGACAAACAAAATATGAAGAACATATTGATCTTGTGTGTCAGTTGATTTGTCCGTTATTATCATTATTAATGAATGCATGCATTTTGGGGTTATCAACTTTTTCTATAGGGATGTTGGCGCTTGCAAAACCCTCCACCATATCCTCCAGGACCTCCCAACTGTCTAAACGATTTTGGGCAGTAGGCCTACCATTCTTATGAGACAACGTAATGTTTTTATTTATTTATTTCAGATGTCTGTCTATCCTGTCTTTCTGTTTATGAGCTAATGCTAAGTTGCAGGTTTTGCAGAATATTGTCATCTGCAAAGAGCGTCCCAGTGGGGTATTGGCGCACTCTTTTTTTTAAGCTATATTCTGATTTTGGATCTTTTCTTTCTCCTTCCATGGTTGGTTTCATTGACTCTCCCTTTTAACTCCCCTAATTGCCAAATTTTTATAACCTCCGATTACCAGAAATTGATTCAGTTTGAGAGGATCAGTTTGAGCAAAGTGAGGTGCACAATCACTAATCTACAAACAGAGTTCCTTGCCAAAAAATGTATTCGCAGAACTACGCCTCCCCTGGATCAGGTGAGCCACCGCAAAACACACGCAACAACCAGCCATTGACTGAAACAGCATGTGTCAATTAAATACAATTTCCTATAATTTTCTGACAGCAGCGGAATAAGGCTGTAAATACCGGTAAAAGCACAGTGCCCCATTTCATCAACCAAAACTCCAGGCCCTAGTGATAGGATACTCACTGGGTGAGCCTGCTGTGGAGGAGTTCCATGGGTGAAGCTTCCTGGAGAGGCCGGGCGGGGGGGATTGGTGTATGGCAAGCCAGACTAATCACACAGAACAGGAGGAGCAGGAAAGGAAGACATGACGTTATGAATTGATAAGGACAACTGACTCTGTGATGTGTGTAATGCCAGAAGGAAGAGAACAGTACATACAGCAGGGTTGTGTTCATTAGGCACAATACTGAAGAAAACAGAGTGAAATGGAGAGGTACTAACTGAACCTGTCCAATAAGAAACACTTGCTTCATTTTTCATTGCAAAACATTTTGCTACATTTGTCCTAATGAACACGACCCAGGGTAGGTGGGTATGGAGGGTTGTCCTTACCTTGGCAGGAGTGATCTGCACTGCGAGGGAGGGGGTAGGCAGCAGGCCTGCAGCACTGGCATGAAGCGCCTGAGGGTGCATGGTCCGTAGAGCACTCTGAAACCACCACAAAAACACAGCATACAAAGATTAAGGGCCAGTTACGTGTGAGTTAACCACCGATGACCCACCCACAAACTGAGATACAGTACACTGCTTGTGATCAACCTCTTAAAACGGATTGTTTGAACACTGCATGGTTTACAACACTTAACACCATATTATTTAATTGTGTGCAATGCTACTTTGCCACTCTATAAGGGGCCCAACGATCTTACAGAGTCAGTGAAGCCAGATTGTTGATTGGCATGTTCCAGCTGCTTCTGCAGAGGGATCCCAGCACTAGGGATAAATCCTGGCGACAAAATAGAGAATATGTTTAAAAGAGCAAAATGGAGTGAAGCAAGAGAATAGTGAGTAGTAGTCTAGGCTCGCGACTAACTTTATTCCTCACCTTCCTGGTACCGTCCGGAAGTGCAATTTCAACTGTCCCAAACTGAACTTGAACCATCTCGAAATTAAAATACTTGTTTTTTTAATGTTTTGATATGCCAAAATGGGTCTAGGTCATTTGCAGTTCTTTTAAATTAATTGGTGTATTTCTGAGACAGATACAGTCTATACTACATAAACTTCATTTGTTAAGAAACAAACATTTTTGCATCTTAAATGAAAACAGACAAACATCCATTACATTATTAGTAATTATAATGTATTAATTGAACATGCTAACCACATGTATACAATATATCTAATAGAGAACAAACAATGTTATTGTGAACTGGTTACTGAATCAACTTAAGTTAGAGACATTACATTCCACCACCAGCTGCCCCATTAAACAACAATATACAATAAAGAATGTGTGTGTGTTGCCCAGCCTTCACTTTCTCTCCTTCACCCTCCCTCTTCAGTCACTGAAGTATGGTCACCTTGAACTTTTTGAGCGCCACCACTTGCTAACGGCCAGGGCCTAAAAGGTACTTATTGGTACACCTGCCACTGTGGCAGGTATTTCTTTTAAATCTACCAGCCACTCAGATTTTTTACCAGCCAAACTAATTTTTTTCCTCTACAATTACACCAACAAAACACACAAAAAAAACAGATGAGCATGCTTTGTAATGTTTCTAAAATAATAAATGTATTACTAGTAAGAAGTAATGTTATATTGTTTAATTTAATTTAATGTTTTGTGACCAGAGTCTTTTAAACAGAGACAAAAATGCATGTTTATGCCTGTGAGATTGAGAGTTTGACTAGTATCCGTGTTGCTTCTCCCTAGCAGTTGAAACTCAAACTTTGAAAAACAACCTAGCTTGTGAACAAAACTATGTAATTAGCCGAGGAATACAAGGACAAAGTCTAACTTCAGTAGACTTTCGTTTCAAGTAAATTAAACAAACTTTTATGCCTGTGCACTGAGCTTCTAAAAATGAAACTGTCACTCAGCTCTTCGCGTGTGCATGCACAGTCCCCAGTCAGGCAGTGTTGCAGCGCGAGGCTGAAATACTTTGCACATTTTACAGTGTGCATTCAGTTCAGGTCAGGGAGATACAACCATATTCTCTAGAATACCATAGTACCTAGCCATAGCCTATAGACAATGCAAATGCTACAGCAACTCCAGGCACACGAAACCTCAGCTCTGGGCCGGCGGGCACGCAGACAGGCTGAGAGAGTAAAATGTGCATTCTAATAGGCCTATTTGCCCAACATTGGAATGATATTCTAATATACAGGAACCAATATACATAATCAGTTAGGAAAGGAAAGGCTAGCTTTTTCAAAGAGAAATTTGCATCCTGTAGCACTAACTCCAAAATGTTTTGGGACACTGTAAAGTCCATGGAGAATAAGAGCACCTCCTCCCAGCTGCCCACTGCACTGAGGCTAGGAAACATTGTCACCCCCGATAAATCTACGATAATCGAGAATTTCACTAAGCATTTTGCTACGGCTGGCCATGCATTCCACCTGGCTAACCCTACCCCGGCCACCAGCTCTGCACCCTCCGCTGCAACTTGTCCCATGCCCGCCCCGCTTCTCCTTCACCCAAATTCAGATAGCTGATGTTCTGAAAGAGCTGCTAAATCTGGACCCCTACAAATCAGCTGGGCTAGACAATCTGGACCCTTTCTTTCTAAAATTAGCCGCCGAAATTGTCGCAACCCCTATTACTAGCCTGTTCAACCTCTCTTTCGTATCTTCTGAGATCCCCAGAGATTGGAAAGCTGACACGGTCATCCCCCTCTTCAAAGGGGGTGACACTCTAGATCCAAACTGTTACAGACCTATATCCATCCTGCCCTGCCTTTCGAAAGTATTTGAAAGTTAACAAACAGATCACCGACCATTTAGAATCCCACCGTACCTTCTCCGCTATGCAATCTGGTTTCCGAGCTGATCATGGGTGCACCTCAGCTACGCTCAAGGTCCTAAATTATATAATAACCGCGATCGATAATAGACAGTACTGTGCAGCCGTCTTCATCGACCTGGCCAAGGCTTTTGACTCTGTCAATCACCGCATTCTTATTGGCAGACTAAATAGCCTTGGTTTCTCAAATGACTACCTCGCCTGGTTCACCAACTATTTCTCAGATAGAGTTCAATGTGTCAAATTGGAGGGCCTGTTGTCTGGACCTCTGGCAGTCTCTATGGGGGTGCCACAGGGTTCAATTCTCTGGCCGACTCTATTCTCTGTGTATATCAATGATGTCGCTCTTGCTGCTGGTGACTCTCAGATCCACCTCTATGCAGACGACACCATTTTGTATACATCTGGCCCTTCACTGGACACTGTGTTAACAAATCTCCAAACAAGCTTCAATGCCAAACAACACTCCTTCCGTGGACTCCAACTGCTCTTAAAACGCTAGTAAAACTAAATGCATGCTCTTCAATCGATCACTGCTTGCACCCGCCCGCCCGACTAGAATCACTACTCTAGGCGGGTCTGACTTAGAATATGTGGACAACTACAAATATCTAGGTGTCTGGTTAGACTGTAAACTCTCCTTCTAGACTCACATTAAGCATCTCCAATCCAAAGTTAAATCTAGAATCGGCTTCCTATTTCACAACAAAGCCTCCTTCACTCATGCTGCTAAACATGCCCTCGTAAAACTGACTATCCTACCGATACTTGACTTCAGCGATGTCATTTACAAAATAGCTTCCAACACTCTACTCAGCAAATTGGATGAAGTCTATCACAGTGCCATCCGTTTTGTCACCAAAGCCCCATATACTACCCACCATGGTGACCTGTACGCTCTCGTTGGCTGGCCCTCACTACATATTCGTCGCCAAACCCACTGGCTCCAGGTCATCTATAAATCACTTCTAGGCAAATCCCCGCCTTATCTTAGATCATTGGTCACCATAGCAACACCCACCCGTAGTATGCGTTCCAGCAGGTATATCTCACTGGTCATCTCCAAAGCCAACACCTCCTTTGGCCGCCATTCCTTCCAGTTCTCTGCTGCAAATGACTGGAACGAACTGCAAAAATCTCTGAAGCTGGAGACACTTATCTCCCTCACTAACTTTAAGCATCAGTTGTCAGAGCAGCTTACCGATCACTGCACCTGTACACAGCCCATCTGTAATTAGCCCACCCTACTACCTCATCCCCATATTGTTATTTACATTGTTATTTATTATGCTCATTTGCACCCCAGTATCTCTATTTGCACATCATCTTCTGCACATCTATCACTCCAGTGTTAATACTAAATTGTAATTATTTTGACTATGGCCTATTTATTGCCTTACCTCCATAACTTACTACATTTGCACACACTGTATATAGATTTTCTATTGTGTTATTGACTGTACGTTTTGTTTATTCCATATGTAACTCTGTGTTGTTGTTGTTTTTAAATCGCACTGCTTTGCTTTATCTTGGCCAGGTCGCAGTTGTAAATGAGAACTTGTTCTCAACTGGCTTACCTAGTTAAATAAAGGTGAAATAAATAAATAAACACATTTCCATAACCTAAATAAAGACTTTTAATAGCCAAAATCCAACCATTAAAAACCTTGCCTTAGGGCCTCCCGAGTGGCGCAGCGGTCTAAGGCACTACAGACCCGGGTTCGATCCCAGGCTGTGTCGCAACCGGCCGTGACCGGGAGTCCCATAGGGCGGTGCACAATTGGCCCAGCGTCGTCCGGGTTAGGGAAGGCTTTACTTGGCTCTTCGCGCTCTAGCGACTCCTTGTGGCGGGCCAGGCGCCTGAGGGCTGACTTCGGTCGTCAGTTGAGCGGTGTTTCCTCCGACACATTGGGCGGCTGGCTTCCGGGTTAAGCAGGCGGGTGTTAAGAAGCACGGTTTGGCGGGTCATGTTTCGGAGGACGCATGACTTGACCTTCGCCTCTCCGGAGCCCATTGGGGAGTTGCAGCGATGAGACAAGACCGTAATTGGATCGCAATTGGATATCACGAAATTGGGGAGAAGGGGGTAATTTGTTTTAATCCTTTCTGTAGGATATAAAACAAAAATAGTCTACATTAGATTTTCTACATTCTACATTAGAGCCAGTTTGCGCTGTTCTGCGAAGGCAGTAGTACACAGCGTTGTACGAGATCTTCAGTTTTTTGGCAATTTCTCGCATAGAATAGCCTTCATTTCTCAGAACAAGAATAGACTAACGAGTTTCAGAAGAAAGTTAATTGTTTCTGGTCATTTTGAGCCTGTAATCGAACCCACAATTGCTGATGCTCCAGATACTCAACTACTCTCAAGAAGGTCAGTTGTATTGCTTCTTTAAATCAGCACAACAGTTTTCAGCTGTGCTAACATAATTACAAAATGGTTTTCTAATGATCAATTAGCCTTTTAAAATGATAAACTTGGAATAGCAAACACAACGTGCCATTGGAACACAGGACTGATGGTTGCTGATAATGGGCCTCTGTACGCCTATGTAGATATTCCATAAAAAAATCAGCCGTTTCCAGCTACAATAGCCATTTACAACATTAACAATGTCTACACTGTATTCCTGATCAATTTTATGTTATTTTAATGGACAAAAAAAATGCTTTTCTTTCGAACACAAGGACATTTCTAAGTGACCCCAAACTTTTGAACGGTAGAGTATATATATATGAATGTAGGCGTATTTAAACGGTTTTGGGAGGTTGTTTTATTTTCATGGCGGTCTTCATCCATAACCAGCAGTTACATGGTTATTCAATTACCGTTACAGTCAGTACACCAAGTCATCCCAGCGCCTTTACGTATAGCCTAAACCTTCTTATACATACTGTGCCACAATCACAACAGGGCCTACAACAACATATAGCTTTTAGTAGACACAGACACACAGGTGTAAGGTACCTGGCTGGGAGGTAAAGTGGCTGTGTACAGCGTAGCCCTGCTGTTGGTGAGGCAGGTACTGCATGGCTTGGAAGGCTGAGGCACCTGGACACAGAGGAGGGGACATAATGAGGGGTTTATGAATGAAACACGCACAAACAGCATACACATTAGGGTTCTCATTCTCATAATAACCTCAACATAGTCACCTTGAAACACATAATACCTAAAGATTCAAAGCCTGTTCCCTAGATCCGTTTGTGCGGTCGTGACAACTCCTTAGATCATTGTCAAACATGTTTGGCGTAACAAGACAACAGATCTGTGAGCAGGCTACCAGACATTATTTACTTTGAAAATCTCACATAGACAACACGTCTCTGAAATAACAATTACATTCAAAATTCAAAACCTTACCTCTGAGCTGTGAGCTGCTGGCGTAGCTGACAGGGACAGTCTGGCTGGGGGCGAAGGGAGAGGCGTGCTGTGCCTGGGTGAGCTGGCCGTAGGGGCCGTGGGCTGCCTGGCTGGCTGTATACTGCCCATGCTCCAAGCCCCCGGAGCTCATCCCTGGTTGGCTCTGGTAGTGACGCCCCTGTCAAACAACATACAGGACACGTTTTCAGACAAATTCAATGTACTGTAATTGCATATAAACTCAGCAAAAAAAGAAACGTCCCTTTTTCAGGACCCTGTTTTTCAAAGATAATTTGTAAAAATCCAAATAACTTCACAGATCTTCATTGTAAAGGGTTTAAACACTGTTTCCCATGCTTGTTCAATTAACCATAAACTATGTATGAACATGCACCTGTGGAACGGTCGTTAAGACACTAACAGCTTACAGACGGTAGGCAATTAAGGTCACAGTTATGAAAACTTAGGACACTAAAGAGGCCTTTCTACTGACTATGAAAAACACCAAAAGAAAGATGCCCAGGGTCCCTGCGTGAACATGCCTTAGGCATCCTGCAAAGAGGCATGAGGACTGCAGATGTGGCCAGGGCAATAAATTGCAATGTCCGTACTGTGAGACGCCTAAAACAGCGTTACCGGGAGACAGGACGGACAGCTGATCTTCCTCGCAGTGGCAGACCACATGTAACAACACCTGCACAGGATCGGTACATCCGAAAATCACACCTGCGGGACAGGTACAGGATGGCAACAACAACTGCCCGAGTTACACCAGGAACACACAATCCCTCCATCAGTGCTCAGACTGTCCGCAATAGGCTGAGAGAGGCTGGACTGAGGGCTTGTAGGCCTGTTGTAAAGCAGGTCCTCACCAGACATCACCGGCAACACCGTCGCAGGACCAGACAGGACTGGCAAAAAGTGCTCTTCACTGACGAGTCGCGGTTTTGTTTCACCAGGGGTGATGGTCGGATTCGTGTTTATCGTCGAAGGAATGAGCGTTACACCGAGGCCTGTACTCTGTACTCGATTTGAAGGTGGAGGGTCTGTCATGGTCTGGGGCGGTGTGTCACAGCATCATCGGACTGAGCTAGATGTCATTGCAGGCAATCTCAACGATGTGCGTTACAGGGAAGACATCCTCCTCCCTCATGTGGTACCCTTCCTGCAGGCTCATCCTGACATGACCTTCCAGCATGACAATGCCACCAGCCATGCTGCTTGTTCTGTGCGTGATTTCCTGCAGGATAGGAATGTCAGTGTTCTGCCATGGCCAGCGAAGAGCCTGGATCTCAATCCCATTGAGCACATCTGGAACCTGTTGGATCGGAGGGTGAGGGCAAGGGCCATTCCCCCCAGAAATGTCAGGGAACTTGCAGGTGCCTTGGTGGAAGAGTGAGGTAACATCTCACAGCAAGAACTGGCAAATCTGGTGCAGTCCATGAGGAGGAGATGCACTGCAGTACTTAATGCAGCTGGTGGCCACACCAGATACTGACTGTTATTTTTGACTTTGACCCCCCCTTTGTTCAGGGACACATTATTCAATCTCTGTTAGTCACATGTCTGTGGAACTTGTTCATTTTATGTCTCAGTTGTTGAACCTTGTTATGTTCATACAAATATTTACACGTTAAGTTTGCTGAAAAAAACCTGCAGTTGACAGTGAGAGGACGTTTCTTTTTTTGCTGAGTTTATTATATTACATTCAGGCCAGAACAAAATTAATTATAGAACAATTAAGTATAACAACTACAGCATCTTGTGTCCCCAATGGTCATTCCTCAAGTCCCTGAAGTCCTAATTATAATCAACAGGAACAGCTGCCTGCTGTATACACTGACTGAGGTGCTTGAGGCCAAATGGGAACCCTAAGAACACTATTTCAACACTGAATAAAAATATAAAAATGCAACATTCAACAATTTCAAAGATTTTACTGAGTTACAGTTCATATAAGGAAATCAGTGAACTGAAATAAACTCATTAGGCCCTAATCTATAGATTTCACATGACTGGGAATACAGATTTGCATCTGTTGGTCACAGATACCTTTAAAATAAAGTAGGGGGTTGGACCAGAAAACCAGTCTGTATTTGGTGTGACCACTATTTGCCTCATGCAGAGCAACACATCTCGTTCACATAGAGTTGATCAGGCTGTTGATTGTGGCTTGTGGAATGTTGTCCCACTTCTCTTCTATGGCTGTGCGAAGTTGCTGGATATTGGCGGGAACTTCAACCAGCTGTCGTACACGTTGATCCAGAGCATCCCAAACACGCTCAATGTCTGACATGTCTGGTGAGTATGCAGGCCATGGAAGAACTGAGACATTTTCAGCTTCAGCCTCCAGGAATTGTGTACAGATCCTTGCGACATGTATGCACTCACTAACTGTAAATCGCTCTGGATAAGAGCGTCTGCTAAATGACTAAAATGTAAATGTAAAATGTACAGTGAGGGAAAAAAGTATTTGATCCCCTGCTGATTTTGTACGTTTGCCCACCTGACAAAGAAATGATCAGTCTATAATTTTAATGGTAGGTTTATTTGAACAGTGAGAGACAGAATAACAACAAAAAAATCCAGAAAAACGCATGTCAAAAATGTTATAAATTGATTTGAATTTTAATGAGGGAAATAAGTATTTGACCCCCTCTCAATCAGAAAGATTTCTGGCTCCCAGGTGTCTTTTATACAGGTAACGAGCTGAGATTAGGAGCACACTCTTAAAGGGAGTGCTCCTAATCTCAGCTTGTTACCTGTATAAAAGACACCTGTCCACAGAAGCAATCAATCAATCAGATTCCACCATGGCCAAGACCAAAGAGCTCTCCAAGGATGTCAGGGACAAGATTGTAGACCTACACAAGGCTGGAATGGGCTACAAGACCATCGCCAAGCAGCTTGGTGAGAAGGTGACAACAGTTGGTGCGATTATTCGCAAATGGAAGAAACACAAAAGAACTGTCAATCTCCCTCGGCCTGGGGCGCCATGCAAGATCTCACCTCGTGGAGTTGCAATGATCATGAGAACGGTGAGGAATCAGCCCAGAACTACACGGGAGGATCTTGTCAATGATCTCAAGGCAGCTGGGACCATAGTCACCAAGAAAACAATTGGTAACACACTACACCGTGAAGGACTGAAATCCTGCAGCGCCTGCAAGGTCCCCCTGCTCAAGAAAGCACATATACAGGGCCGACTGAAGTTTGCCAATGAACATCTGAATGATTCAGAGGAGAACTGGGTGAAAGTGTTGTGGTCAGATGAGACCAAAACCGAGCTCTTTGGCATCAACTCAACTCGCCGTGTTTGTGTTTGGAGGAGGAGGAATGCTGCCTATGACCCCAAGAACACCATCCCCACCATCAAACATGGAGGTGGAAACGTTATGCTTTGGGGGTGTTTTTCTGCTAAGGGGACAGGACAACTTCACCACATCAAAGGGACGATGGACGGGGCCATGTACCATCAAATCTTGGGTGAGAACCTCCTTCCCTCAGCCAGGGCATTGAAAATGGGTCGTGGATGGGTATTCCAGCATGACAATGACCCAAAACACACGGCCAAGGCAACAAAGGAGTGGCTCAAGAAAAAGCACATTAAGGTCCTGGAGTGGCCTAGCCAGTCTCCAGACCTTAATCCCATAGAGAATCTGTGGAGGGAGCTGAAGGTTCGAGTTGCCAAACGTCAGCCTCGAAACCTTAATGACTTGGAGAAGATCTGCAAAGAGGAGTGGAACAAAATCCCTCCTGAAATGTGTGCAAACCTGGTGGACAACTACAAGAAACGTCTGACCTCTGTGATTGCCAACAAGGGTTTTGCCACCAAGTACTAAGTAATGTTTTACAGAGGGGTCAAATCCTTATTTCCCTCATTAAAATGCAAATCAATTTATAACATTTTTTACATGCATTTTTCTGGATTTATTTGTTGTTATTCTGTCTCTCACTGTTCAAATAAACCTACCATTAAAAGTATAGACTGATCATGTCATTGTCAGTGTGCAAACGTACAAAATCAGCAGGGGATCAACTACTTTTTTCCCTCACTGTATCTCTGTGCATTCATATTGCCATCGATAAAATGCAATTGTGTTCGTTGTCCGTAGCTTATGCCTGCCCATACCATAAACCCACCGCCTCCATGGGGCACTCTGTTTACAACGTTGACATCATGAACCTGCTCGCCCATACGGCGCCATACACGTTGTGATCTGCCCGGTACAGTTGAATCCGGGATTCATCCATGAAGAGCACACTTCTCCAGCATGCCAGCGAACGTGAGCATTTGCCCACTGAAGTCAGTTACGAAACCTGCCTGCAGTCAGGTCAAGACCCTGGTAAGGATGACGAGCACGATGATGAACTTCCCTGAGACGGATTATGACAGTTTGTGCAGAACTTCTTTGGTTGTGCAAACCAACAGTTTCATCAGCTGTCCGGGTGGCTGGTCTCAGATGATGCCTCAGGTGAAGAAGCCGGATGTGGAGGTCCTGGGCTGGCAGGGTTCCACGTGGTCTGCCAAATTCTCTAAAGCGTTGGAGGCGGTTTATGGTAGAGAAATTAACATTCAATTCACTGGCAACAGCTCTGGTGGACATTCCTACAGTCAGCAGGCCAATTGCACACTCCCTCAAAACGTGAGACATCTGTGGCATTGTGTTGTGTAACAAAGCTGCACATCTTAGAGTGGCCTTTATTGTCCCCAGCACAAGGTGCACCTGTGTAATGATCATCCTTTTCAATCAGCTTCTTGATATGCCACACCTGTCAGGTGGATGGATTATCTTGGCAAAGGAGAAACGCTCACTAACAGGGATGTAAACTAATTTGTGCACAAAACATTTCTGGGATCTTTTATTTCAGCTCATGAAACATGGGACCAACACACGTTGCGTTAATATTTTTGTTCAGTATAAGAAGTCTGCAAACTCACCGGAAGGACAGGGGACTGGAAGAGCTGTTTACTGCGTTCTCCAAGAAGAGCAGCAGACCGGCCGTGACTCACTTGACTCGCTGATCATTGATATAGAGGAAGGAGACATGGAGAGAATGATAATACACAGTTTGTGTGTATTAACAATCAAGCTTGTGCTACATAAAATCAGTGTGAATTACCTTGCATGCTGAGCAGGTGTTGTCCTGAGTGGGAGTGGATAGCCATGCTGGGCTGGTAAGTAGCAGATGTCAGGGTTGTCATGTCACTACAAGAAACCAATGGGGAAAGAAAGTAAGATCATGTCCATAGTCACACACTAGCAGTCAGTATTAACAATGTGTGCGGATGGTAACAACGTTAATGCTAATCTACCAGCAACTAGGACTGAATCTCACATCAAAAGCCAATAAGGTTGCTGGGGAATGTGGGGATGTGTTAGCCTGGTGGTTCCAGAAATGTATACGCTGTATGTATGATGTCAACAACAACAACCATAGATGTTGTCAAGACAGCACATATAGATCTGGGACCACCAGGCTAGGGATAAGTGATTTTTGTAAGACCCCCAGAAAGTTCATTCAAGAGCCGGTAGAGCCTTTACCTCTGTTCTTTCCTCCGTCGCTTCTCCTCCTCATGGAGCACTTTCTTCAACTGGAGGAAGAGCTGGTGTTTCTCCTCTTGTAGCCCCTGTAGCTTCTCCCCCATCTTCATGATCTAAGGCAGAGAGAGGACAACGAGAAAGGAGTTGAGTAAGGGGAATAGAATGCGAGGCAGGCCCTGGGCAATTTCAAAAAATCTCAATAACGCACCTGCTCTTTCGTCTCATCTAAAGACATTCTCTCCTCCACCTCTTTCTTCCTCTTCCTTTCCTCCTCCTCCTTCTGCTTCTGCTCCATCATTTTGTCTACTTCTTCTTCCTCTGCGACACAAGGTTGGATGAGGGGGTTACAGGACAGGAGTTGGTATCAATGACCACGTTTACATGCACACCAATATCCTGTTATTATTCGGGATACTCAAGCATTCTGTTTTTGAGTTGACGCATATAAACATCATATCCTGTTTACAATAACCTGAAAAGGCTTGTATCCCGGTTATGAGAAGCCCTAATAAGATGCCTGGGTTATGCTGATCTAAGACGGGATACTGTGGCATGTAAACATCTTACCCCGTTTACTGTTGTTTTTGATATGGAGTTTTGCATATCATGGGTGTTGTGTGATGATGTTTTCATCTGATTGCCAAACAATTCCCTTCAAAAAGTAGCATACCTGCGCAGTTCAATCCACCATAATAATTCCATTATAATTTAGCCTACTATAATTAATTTACTATTGGCTACTTTCACCCCTAATTTAGACAATTCTAATTCTGCTTATAATTTCCGAAATATGGCAGGCCATATTATAATTTCCGACATTTGGTGGGTCATTTGTTTGTCATAACTTGTTGCCCCAGAAGACTAAATAAAGTAGTGATCACCAGAATAATGTATTACATCGATAGAATGAATGCATTAGTAATCTAGTTAACACCAATAAAGTTGTCTGTTTCGTTTAGGGACCAGAGAGAAAACGCAATAACTCCAAAACAGTAGAAAGATTGGTCCTGGGTTAAATGTCTAGTGTCATCAGTTTGCCCGGTTTTAAGGAAATGAAAAGCTGAGAAAATGACTTAACACTTTTCTGATAAGACTTCAGTTCGTCTTGGGTGCATATTTTATGTGGTTGAAATACTGTCTGCTTGCATAACAGTGTCAAAGATAACGCAATACATTTTATCAAGAGATACTGAAAGAAAGAAATCTATAATTTCACTAAAATAAATGCATAATTCTGCAGGAGTTCATATTATATTACGCTACATGTGAAATGTTATAGGCCTACAGTCAGTGTCCATATTTCAGTTACTATTCCATTTAACCCTTATACTTAAATTAAGAATATTCTGTTTATTCATGATTACAGGGAAACTCATGAGAGGGATATCAAAAGGTGCATGTAAACAGCGTATCCCGAATAACACCTTAAGTGGGATATGAGCTACTATCCGGAATACTGTGCTCATGTAAACGTGGTCAGTGTGTTACCTGTGTCATTGGGTAGAGAGTGTTCTTTCTTACCTTGTCTCTTGCGGTCTCGCTCGCGCATGATGTGCTTGTGCAGGGCGCGTGCCATGGCATTGGACAGTTTGGGCCTCTCTAGTAGAGCAGGCATAATGGTAGGGATTGGTGGGGCCAGCTAAGAACAGACAGATTGACACAGAGAGAAAGTGAGCCCAAGAATCACCACTGACATTGCTAACATATGTTTACATCTATTTGCCTACCACAGTCCTTCATTCATCAAACAACAATACATGACTCAATCAGACTGTAATAAAGTCCCTAATAAGTAGATCACAACAGCATAAACGTAAATCTAAATTATAACAATCTATTAAATTAGCTAACTAGCTATGTCTGAAGCCAGTAAAATATGACTGACTAGCTCAAATGTCAGCAGCAAATTCTAGCTACTTAAATATGGTAGCCTATGTCGAAGATGTGATCATGATTCGACAGTTTTGTGGCAACATTATACAATAAAAATACGTAATATTACAAAATAATGATCACATCCTCGACTTAAGGTACCATATTTGGGTATAATAAAGTCAAACTAACGTTATAATCAAGAATAAACTAAAGGCTTAATTGTATTACTAACTGGCTAACAACCCGTTAATATAGCTAGCCAAGTTAGCTAGCTAGCGTGTAACGCTATGACTTGCTAGCTGACTAATTGCACGATGGTAATCTCACACTAGCAGTTTAGCATCAACTAGCTAACATTAGATTGATTTCAAAAAGTCACCAAGTGATCTGTCAACTTTGAAATCACACACGGGAAGCCTGACTCTGTTGCGAGCTAGCTAGCTAAACCCATATGCAGAACAAATCCCGATTTAGCATCAAGAATTTACAGTTTAGCCAGCTAACGTTGGCTAGCTAAACTACACATCCTCTCATATCTAGTTAGCTAACAGTCTTGCAATAGAATTGTGTGGAATCCTCTCAAAACGCACTTTTATCCGTGCCAGAAAATATGTCTTTGTTAGTCTGGTTTGCAGTTAAAATATTATAAAAGCCCAACGTTGACACTACAGCTGATAGTGTTGGGTGTGACGTTAGCGAGTTTATGAATGTTGCCAAAATCAAAAACAACAAAAAAGCAGAGGAAATTTGACACTTACTGTATTTACGACAGCCAGAAATAATAATAATAATAATAATACTTCCACTTCTTCTTCTGTGGAGTTTAACGGCGGTTGGCATCCAATATGTTGCATTACCGCCCCCAATTGAGCTATAGTATAAATCCATTACACGTTATGATACAAAATGCGAAAACGGGAAACGGGAAAAATTCAATAAAAATCGTTTTTTCATTATCCTACCAACTAACCCTACACTCATTAAAACCCACCAGGTTATTCCACTACTTTAACCCTATCTGATCCTTCCCAAGGCCAATGACCTGAGAGGACGGGACACTACCACTCAACTCACTTTGTAACTCTTTTGAAGTCAAATTTCATACCCCCAAGTACTTCTCTGCAGATGCCACCACAACATCAATTTTCTGTGACTTATGTTCCATCTCTGCAGTACAGTTGATAACCATTGCTATGAACGCTAAGAAGCCAACCTTACTGAAACATACAGTGCCTTCGTAAAGTATTCAGACCCCTTGACTTTTTCCACATTTTGTTATGTTACAGCCTTATTCTAAAATTGATTATTTTTAAATCCTCAGTAATCTACACACAATACCCCATAATGACAAAGCAAAAATAGGTTTTTAAAACATTTTGCAAATGTATAAAATAAAAATAAGGGGAGGAAGGCTCACAATAATAGTTGGAACTGCGCAAATGTAATGGCATCAAACACATGGTTTGATGTATTTGACACCATTCCACCTATCCCGCTTCAGCCATTACCACGAGCCCATCCTCCCCAATTAAGGTGCCACCAACCTCCTGTGGTAGAGTCAGACATCTGACAGACAGGCCACGGAGCTCCTCGTCGTTTTTGATTGTCATAGCTCCTCCTCCGTAACCGGATCGTCCAGTATGAAATGTAGCACCCACCTGTGTGATGCTTTGGTAACTGTAAAAGCGCCAGCAAGACCACCACACCTCAGCAGTGGTTTGGAAAAGTCTCTTATGAAGTGACCCTCTGCATCCCCTCACACCGCAGTCCACTTCTCTCTAGGAACTGGGGCAGGGGGCCAAAAACCTGATGCTGTTGATCAGGTGTTGCTGCATCATTCAAATCATATCACATGGTAATTGATGATTAAGGATTCCTAATGATTGTTGTTTTTTCTATTTTAAACACTAGTATGTGTTACTGTTGTCGTAGTAAATATATAATGTTATAGCTTGGTCTGACTAAAATCTTGTGCATGACCCATCTTGTGTTGGGCCTTTGTATTTAATACAATGCACAAAGACTTCTATCTTGTCGGCCTTATCAGCAGGTGGCTATGGACAACACCCACGCCATAGGTCTCTCAGTTCTCCCAACTCACGACTTCTTGCTCTGAGGACATACACACACACACCCCCACACACACACACATATACACACACACACACACACACACACATCATCATTGTTAAACATACACACACATACACACACACACACACACACACACATACACACACGCACACACACACACACATCATCATTGTTAAACATACACACACATACACACACACACACACACACACACACATACACACACGCACACACACACACACACACATCATCATTGTTAAGCACACACACACACAAAAACCCCCTTCTCTTAGGCTGAACATCTGAAGACAGAGAACCCGACTCAGAGCCAATGCAACAGTGACACTAGCCTGGAGGTGACCTCGCCCAACTCATCAGGACCAATCAGAAGATCAGAACTGCTAGAATCAACCTACCCTTCATTTTATTGTATAAAATGTCAGCACACAATGTTTAGGGGCTCGCTCTCTCAGATATCTCCCTACGAGGTTGACGAACGGGTCCGTGCACGCTATTTACAGATATCTTTACCTCTGAATAAACTGCCTTATATTATACAATTATCCACCTTGTCCGAAAGTCTCTACTTGGTCTCCGTTCTCCAGTAAACTTGTGATTATCAACACTGTTCATTAACATTATTGGACTGGTTTTGATGTCATGTTCTGAGTCTGATAATTTATTACACCCCATTCCTGAACTTGTCGCCTAATTAAATGGCGTATTCTCTTGAACTGATAATACATGCTTTCTCAGTTAATATGGCTGTGTAATGACTTTCTTTAATACCATAATAGTAGCCCATTGAGACAGAGTCTATTTTGTAAGTGAAGCCTGCCCAAGAAGGCAGCTGCAATACAACATTACAAAATGTAATCATCAACAGTCCATAATACTGGGTCGCGACTCAATTGTCATTGTCAAATTTGGGTCCCCAGTAAAACCAGTTGAGAACCACTGATTTAGCAGACGCTCTTACCCAGAGTGACGTACAGTTGGAGCATTCATTTTAAGATAGCTAGGTGGGCCAACCACATATCAAAGTCATATTAAGTAGCTACATGTTTCCTCAATAAAGTAGCTATCAGCAATGTCAGAGCTAGAAATGGGGAAAAGGAGTGTTAGTTCACGAAAGCCTGTTTTTTTTTTCTGTCCCCATTTAAGCGCACATCGTTTTCGTGACATTGTCAGCTAACCCGGATATAGGAATGCATTTATTAATGTTTACGTTCGTTTTTGCCACGTTAATTCTATTACAGACACATTAATACATACTTTTAACTACTTGTATTATATAAACAGTGAGCTAAACATAAAAACAATTAAGAATATATTTTAAAAGTTCCTTAAAGTAGAATTTTTAGAGATTACTAATGTTACTGTTCCCACAACAACATAATACTACTTAACTACAATTAATTTTGTCCTTTAATTTAAATGAAATGTGTAGAATTCCATTCATTCCAATGGAGGACTGCTCCTAGCCTGGTTGCTGTTTGTTTAGCTATTACATTCTACTCCATAGAAATATAATGAATTGAATGGGCATCTCCATTCAAGTCAATGATGTCATAAGGGGTGGACTGGCAGCCATTTTGAGTGTACCCATGCCAGGTAGTAAAAGCTAGGTTGAAGATGACAACCTAGAGTATAACCAAGAAGTGTACTCTTCAATCTGTGCTGTGATTTGTTGAGTCAACTCAACTGACATTACAAAAAATACATTCCATTGCATGAGCCACATCAGTTAGCATCATTTTAATGACAATTCTACATTACCATGTCAATCCAGCATCAGTTGATGGAACATTCCAAAATACCATGGAAATTATTGCGTCAGACTACCAGGCAGCCATTGCGAGTGTACCCATGAGTTTGAAAACGTTCTTAACTTAATTCATACATTTTACTGCTCCTACTGGGGAGTTTATATACATCATTGGCTTCTACCATTTGATAGGCTACAACTGTCTTAGCTTATCATTTTAAAAAAAACTACAGATATATCATGGCAATCAAGAACTATTTGCACGTGAACATGTAATTTGCTCCATTTTTTATTATTCACAGCTGCATAGTAAAAATGATTACAGCAGAACTAGACCAAAGATTGAGCAAACAGAAACATATAGGGCCGGTTTCCTGGACACAGATTAATAACAATTTATTCAACTTCTATAGTGCTATTCATTACATAAAGAATCTCAATGCGCTTTAAAGCAAAACAAAAATGCATACAATTTAGAACATCATGAAATGGACAATCTTTAGAAAGTTCATGGCTTGAGTGGTGGTCATCTCAGGGTGGTGGTCAAGCAGGGAGAGAAAGAAACAGGTCTGGCTTTCAGGCTAACATATCCTTCATATCACCGAAATATCCTTCATTTGGTCTATGCAACTACAGTAAGATGAATCACCAAAACTGTCCACTAAAATGTTTGGTGCAATATCAATGCATACTGTATACATAAATACATAGGTCTAAAATCTAATCTTTCAAGTAAACAAAAAAAGATTGCTAGCGACAGAGTAATCGGGTTGATTAAGGGTCTGTTTCTCAGACATAGACTAAGCCTATTCCTAGACTAAAACACATGTTCAATGGAGAATATCTATGGAAAAGTACTTTTTAGTCCTGGACAAGAATTAAACTGTGTCCAGGAAACTATCCCTAAGCCATTTGGAAGGTGAAGCGATCAAACATAGAAATGTGCTGTGGATAACAACTATGACAGGACATGACTATGACAGATGGAGCCTTGATTACAAGAGGGAGATTTGGTAGTCTGAATGTTAAAGCTAGAATCCTTAGTTGCTACATCCATTTTTGGACTTATAAATTAATTATATATACACCCATTGATTCTTGAAAAATATAACTTTGCCCCATGAGCTTAGTTCAACTGTTGTACCCCATCAAAACCCAAAATAGAAGCTTGTTTTACTCCAATGTTTGTAAACAATGTAAATGTAAACAAACACTGTATAGCCTCAAAATATGGTTAAAACTATCATTTTGATATCATGCATGGTCAGTCCTTCCATCCATAGCTTGGTCGATGAATTTGAGAGTGGTTAAATTTCTTAATTTCCACTTTGTTATTGTTTCAATTAAGGATTTTAGCTTTAATGGGGCAAGAGGGTTTGAAAGTGCATTAAATATTCATCTGGTGGCAACTAAATTGCTTTTATTTGTTTGTGTCTTTGTGACGATGCAGAGTCAATCAGGCTGCAGATGTGCTGAAAGGTGGTTAGCTAGACTTCTGTTTGGCTGTCTCCGTAGACACTCTCATCACTGTAGGCTATGTACAGAAAGAAGTCCTCTTCGTGGTGTTCCTATTACACAGAGATTCAACATTCAGTTAACCAGGAATGTGTTTGAGACAGCCAAACAGAAGTGTTTGAATCAAGGAACATTTCAGGATAAGTAGGATATACAAGATCTAGGATGATGTCAGAAAATAAGGAATTCCTGATTAATCAGGAGGAAATACCACAACACCATGCATAATGTATAGGAGGGAATAAAAAATGATGCCCTGCCTGGATAAATAGACTCAGTACCTGGTAAAGTAGTCCCATGGTGGCTGAGGTGGGAGGAATGACATTGTTGACAAAGAAGAAAAGGGCATCCTCTGCCCGCAGGTGAATCCTCTTCCGGATCAGGAAGTAGAACTGTCCCACTTAAGAAATAAGAAAATAAGTCATTTTAAATTCAGATCAAAATGTGGAAATAGACGCAACACAATTCGATACATGTCCTGTATCTCACCTGTAAGATCAGAGGGTACAAGATATTTCTTCTTGTCCAAATCACCTATTCTGGCTTTGGGGGCTTTCTCCACTATCACCTGCAAATATAATAAATGTCCCAGCTAGTCAGATGACCAAAAATGCATTTATGAAATGCTTACCAATTCTCAAAGCAATACGTTGAAATATATATATAGTGTCAAAAGATGTGTCAATTTAGCAAAATAGCTAACAACTAGTTAGCTAGCTGGCTAGAATGACAGTGTAAAACGTTCATCCAAAACAATCTGTGACCAATTAATTGGAAAACTATTTCCAAAGATGTAACCATAGATGTTAAGGTTGTAGCTAGTACTATTACTGTCAATGTCCTTAAGATCCTCTCTTTATTATTGTGTTTTGTGTGGGTTACAGCCGACAAGATAACCGGTAAGCATTTCGCAAGCATTGGCTAGCTAGTTAGCAGCAACTCACTGGCACTCTATCTGGGTACTTCTTCCTGATTTTTTCCCCCTCCGATCTTCTCTTCTCAAATGGGTGCTCCTCTTTATACATGAATTTCATTGTCACGGTTTAAGATTCCTCCAAACCCTAAGTTTTGATGATAGTTCAAGCTAGCCTATGCCTGCCCTCTGTATGACTGCAAAATGATGTAATTCTATAAAAACTGATAACCTTGTTGCTAATGCTAATTTGGTGACGTTTCATGTTTTGACGCGGAGAGATGGAACAATGACGTATCTATACCCTAAATTAAAGATGGGATTGATGCCGCGTTCACAAAACGGGGAACTCGTAAATAATAATGTATTACATTTATATAGCGTTTTTAATAAATCTAAAAGCGCTTCAAAAGCTAAACAAACAAGCAATATATCATGACAGGTCAACCAATAGATGCCGAGTTCACATGCTAGTCGGAATGCGGTACGTATATAACTACAACCAGTTAGCATGTCGGAAATGTACTAGTTTCCTAGTTCCGACTAGCACGCGAAAGCAGCAAAAGGCAAAGTCTTTGAAAAATGTATCCTCTCAGGGTGGTAGATTATGGTGATGGAGTCTGCAGGTGCTCTTGTAGAGGGCAAGTCTGGGAACCAGCCTGAGTCTTATAGCCACTGGCCTTCTCTTCCACTCTGTGTAGCACCCACTTGGGCGATGCATCAGCAGCTCTGGGCGCCAGAAAGCTCCCCACACAAAATGCAGAATATTAGCGTCGTCCTCTCTATGAGCCCTCTGCTTCAGCACTATTCCTCTATCTCCCATTCCTCTCATGCGACTCCTCAAATTATGTTCTCAAAAGATCAGGAATTGGCAGCCAGGTAAACCAAAAAAGATGGCACTGTGTCCAGATACATTTTTCAAACAAACGCTAACTAGCCAAGCCAAAAAGTGTTAACCTGTCGGTCAATCTGCAAATCCGTGGCTCAAAACGATAGATACATGCAATTAAAACTCAGCGTTATCCAGGGGTGCCAGTAGATGTAATTACTTACCGGCACGGGACACCCAAGTGCGCCCACGCATTTTTTTAAAATATACAACAAAAATTACAGGGTAGCCTACTCTGCTGACACTGACAAACAGATCAATAAAAACTATGTTGTCTGATCCATATAGTCGGCCTACGAAAAGGGGAGACACAAATACAATGACTTCCATCTAATCTGGAGGAGGAAATGATTGTCCAAAAACAAACAAAAGTGGCACTGACAATGATAAAGACAGTGAATATGCACACTCACCAGGGATATGGCATTTGTTCTCTGGTGGCCCCAATAAGATAGGCTACTGTCCGCTCAATTAAGTTAATACTTTTGTGTAAAAGACAGATTGGAGTCTTTTCATTGTCATCTATTTACAGCAATAGCCATTTGCTTTCCAAACAGTTTTTCCGCGAATGTATTTTTGAATATTGCAATTTGCCTGTTTGGGTCTCTGCTTTTCACTGACAGTTGCCCTTCCCACTGTAGGCTATAATATTTAAGAAGCTAACGATTGTCTGTGGCCAAATCATGCTTTCTGCTGTAGTAGCCTATTTTGAATGTTTTTTTGTTTGTTTTTCTGTATAGACAAGAGTAAGGTAATTATGCTAGGCCTATGTAATTTTGGCAATTTAATTAAATTTACTTTAGGGAAAGCGTAGTTTTCCTAGCCTTATGGACACGCCACCTTTGCCTTTTAGCGTGGCATAAACACAACCAGTAATGTTTTCATCTGATTGTCAAACAAATCACTTAACAAATGAGCTCCTGTAGGCTAGCCTCGCACATCCGTTCACTCACAAAATAATTTCAGCATCCAAACCCCAAGAGTGTACTGTGCACCCGCAATTTGATGAATGGAAAGAGACATCAGTTACAAAACACCTACGTGTATTGTAATTAAGTTCTGCAATTGTCCACAGTATGAGTCATAATACCCATAAAACCTTGCGGTCAAACAAGGAAATGGTTCCAATCGTTTTTTCACCATACATTTTTTCCCATAGGGGATTTTAGAAACACTTAAAATAAGGGCTATTTCTCAAGTAGGCTTACCCTGGCGTGACGTTTTGATAACCATGCAAATCTCTCTAGGACAAGGTGACATATCAATATATTCGACTATTTACTCCCCAAAAATGAAATGCTAATTAGCTGCTGATGTGGCTATCATAAAGAACTACAAATGCCATGATCTGAACGAGACTGCCAAATCACGGCAAAGGTAAGAATCTCTGGATTACCTATGTGTTAGCTAAATTTCGTAATGAATAAATTGGCTAAATGTATTTAAAATTGACAATTCTGTGAACTGTCTTGTGCAAGTATTACATTTACTCAATACCTGTTAGCAAAGGTGGCAGCTAGATGACGTGCAGGAGCTTGCAGAGATTTGTAGTCTTGCATGATATCTACTTTGATGCTACCTAGCATTTTCGAATATGAGTAAATAGAGCCGAATATATTGATAAATCACCTTGTCCGAGAGAGATTTACATGGTTATCAAAACGTCACGCCAGGGTAAGCCTACACGAAACACAGCCTTTATTTTAAGTGTTTCTAAAATTCCCTATGGGAAAAATGGTGGGAAAACGATTGCAACCATTTCCGTTTGACCGCTAGGTTTAATGGGTATTATGACACCTCCACTGTGGGGCTCTATAGCTAGGTTGTTATCAATAAAACGTCACAATACGGTGCAGAGCATTCGATTTGACTGCTGGGGGGCAAGAAGAACCCCAGCTCCACTAAAACCATTGACAACTACGTGCCGTTTAAGGGATTGTTCAAGAAATGTTAAGTATTTTGTTTTAATATCATCACCTCTTGAAGAGCATAGTCAGAACAACACATTTCCGATTCCAATCTTCAACCTAGACATAAACCCGAAACCAACCACGGAAGGTTACGCTGCAATGTAAACCTCATGCTCCAGGGTTTCCACTAGATAAGTCAGATTCCACAAGCAAAGTCAAAATTGGCTAACAAATTAGCTTTTTGGTGTTAATTTAAGGTTAGGTATAAGGTTAGCAGTGTGGTTTGGTTTAACATAAAATGTTAAGATAAATTGCAGGGTTTAGCCATAATTTTGACTTTGTGTTTGGGTTAACTAGTGACGACCGCCCCTGTTGGACCAGAGAACCTTTGGTCCAGTGACCTGTATTATTGTACAGGTAGTCACTTACAGGAAAATACTGTCCATTAAAGAATGAATAAATGTACAATAATCAATTGTGTCAAACACACCTGTGTGTGATCCATGTCTGCCAATGTTTTTCAAAACATTGCTCTGAATTTAGTTTCAGAGATTCACCATGGAATGAAGTGAGTTAAGCTCACAAAATAGAAGTAGTTATAGAATAATCTACATGAGACGATCATGATTTAAAAGTCAGTAAAAGAGGAGTATGATGCCTAGCATTTTATTGGAAACACTGATAGACGTGATTTTGACCAACACATTGTTCAATGGGCAGGCATGTTGGGGTTACATTAAAGTACATGTGATAATGTGTACATGGTTGAAAGTGAATGGGTATAAATCAGGCTTTAAAAAGTCCAAGGAAGAACACGCACTCATGAATAGAAAGCTTGTTGAATAATCAAAAAGAAAACCCATCTTTGCTCTGTGGATGGAGAAGTACGTTAACAATCTTACATCTCTTTCAACTAAACAACATTCAAGTAATTTTCAGTTATTTTTGTAAATCTCTGAATAGAACAAATTATTTTAGAGTAAAAAATATTTTCTCAACAAGGGAGAAATAACTCAAATTACTTCATATCACCCTGTTCAACCCTTTTGTAAAAATCCACACATCCCAATAATTGAAAGATATTGCCAACCTGGCCCGACCCAGTCCATCCCTAACCACTGAGTAAATCTTCAGTTCTATTTAGGCTTGTTGATCAGTTATCTATTAGTTGTTCCTTAATCTTAACTTAACTCCAGAACCAAACTATTAAAATGACAGTTACCTGAGAAGGTAGATGATAAAAGCAAAAGATTTACAGAAATGTTGAGAAAGAATGATAGACTGGGTATAGTAGTGGAGAGAGTTGCGTTCAAGGGGCATAAACGATAATAAGATGGGATGGGAAATAAGGAAGGACTGGTTTCTTTATAGTCTCATATCATCAGTATTTCCTTAGTCAATAGTTAAAAATACTTCATATTTCATCAAAAAAAAAGAAAATGTAACTAATGCAAGCATACTTGAATTCCCAGAATCCAAGGACTAAGGCAAGAGTTTCCATTCAGGAAAAAGAAAGCTGGCCCTCTCCACTTTTCCTTATACGTAGCGCCCACCTCTGTATTTGTGGCCCCCAGTCTTGGTCCTCCCTCTTCTTAAAAAGGGTCACACCATGGAGATGTGGGCAGAGCAGAGGAAGGGGTCGTGCAACAACCAGGAGAGAAGGCGTTCTAAAAAGAGAGGCAGTGGAGCTGCTGATGCTAGCTCCGATGGATGAATCCCCATAGCCGATGCTGATGGAGGTTTCGACTGAGGACAGATCGGACATCTGAGGTGAACCTGATATTGAGAGGAAGACAAACAGAGGGGAATAGAAAGAGAAACAAACATTACTATGGAAAATCAACATACTCATGAGTTATGATGAGAGGTATCACTCATCTTGGCAGCTCATCACAGGTGTAACATCTTTGAGACATACCTAAGTGCGTCTAGCATGGGTAGCAGGTTAAGTAGAGCTGTGTCGCTTGGGTCGCTGAACCACGATTTGATGGGTATTGCATTGTCTGTGAGGTGAACACACAAATGTTTGACAAGAGGGTACAGAGACAGGGCAGATCCATGATGACAGAACTGTTAGAACCCAATAGCCCCTTTTGTGTAAGATCAATCCAATGAAAATGGCACTTGGCATCTACCTAAACATAGTTTGAAATAATAAATAGCCAAATACACTTTACATATAATCCTGTGTGAGTTGTACAGGTAACTGACAAAATAAAGGCAACACCAACATAAAGTGTCTTAATAGGGCGTTGGGCCACCACGAGCCACCAGAACAGCTTCAATATACCTTGGCATAGATTCTGTGTCTGGAACTCTATTGGATGGATGTGACACCATTCTTCCACGAGAAATTCCATCATTTGGTGTTTTGTTTATGGTGGTGGAAAACGCCGTCTCAGGCGCCGCTTATGGAGCGATTTCAGTGCCAACAGAAATTATATTTGAATCCCATTTTGGATATTGAATATCTACCTCAATTACCTTGTACCCCTGCACATCGACTCGGTACTGGTACCCCTTGTATATAGCCAAGTTATCGTTACTCATTGTGAATCAATTACTTTAATTATTACGTGTTCTACTTTTCTATTATTTCTCTATTTTCTTTCTCTCTGCATAAATATGCATTTCACTGTTAGTCCACACCTGTTGTTTACGAAGCATGTGACATAACATTTGATTTTGAATCATTGAATTTATAAATTGAACTTGTATTTCATGATTTGAAACCGAATTGAATGAATATTGCATTAAGTCTTAAAATTCAATTATTTGAATATTCTAATCCAGTATTTACATATTCAGTTTCAATATGGTAGATATTGCATTCATTGTCTCTGTATCAAGTTTAAACTATAATTTCAAGTTTTAGTTTCATATAGCCTATTCAACTTCTCAGATGCACTCAGATTCAGTTTTCAAATTCAGTTCTCTAAATTCAGATTCAACCAGAGATAACATCCTGGTACTTTGCCAGCCAGGAAGGGTAGAGATGAACAGATCAAACGCTCTCTGTGGTAAAACTGAAGCTTCTGGCAGTTTCTGAAGCCAATGTGGTATGTTGAATTTATTTTCTTCCTATGAATTTGGCTCTAGCGTTTGAACCGTTTTGGCTATAAACTATTATGACCCCATTCCTGAAAGCTAAGACTCTCTGGAACATGGATGTTACTCTTTATTATGATCACAGGCTGCGCAGAACACATTACAAGAGTGTCACAATTTGCCCCCATAAGAATATAGTTGAATAGCCCTGTCATAGCCCTTCTAAGGATAGCCTTTCCACTCCCTATTTAATCTTGCTCTTGTGACTGACTGGGTTTGAACCAGGTCTCCTACATGTCACAAGACTATGTTAGCCCACTTAGCTAAAGCCTATAGGGATAAGTTCAGGAAGTTCATGCAAAGGACAACCTGCTTCTTGCTTAACGAGTACCACTTCCCCCTGACTCAGCTCATACAGTACCAAGATCAAACTCAGGACTTCTGCCTTACACACACATGATCGCCCTCCTGAAGCATTCCAACCCATCGTGCTCTTAAAAAAGACTTTTTTCAATTGCGCAAGGGGCGACCCTTCATTCTGAGGAGTGAGTTCCACAGATCCCCATCTGCTACACTAATACAAGACTTCAAGATCCAGCAAGGTTACTCATCAAAACACTGTGGTTTGGTGATACATGCTTGTGATGAGCAACCTGAAGACGTATTAGTTTGACATGTTAGATGTGTTAGTTTCAAGTCTCTGGTAAGGTTAGTCATTATAAGGGTACTGTGACTGTTAGATGGCTGAGATAAAGGCTAGGCATTGGTCCTGTGACTTGGATGGGTCTCTTCAAGGAGGTGGTCAAAGGGGGGTGAAGTGTAACCACAGGTGGTTCGGTGACCACGCTCGCGTGATGAGTAACTTGTCTGAGACCTGAAAAGTTGCATTGTCTGGCACACAGGAGACCTGGGTAAGAACCTCATTAGTCAAACTAACACATCTCTTCAGGTCTCAGGCAAGGTTGCTCATCACATGCATGGATCACCAAACCACCTCTGTTGCACTCATTAAATGGGGTGCACAGATCCTTCTGCTTGCCACTGAAAGTGTTGTGCATTAGGCCTGATTTCGAACCCAGGCAGTTATATTGATGCCGTGATCTCTAAGTCAAATAATAGCTTATAGCCAAAACTGTTCAAACGCTAGATCCAAATTCATAGGAAGAAAATAAATTCAACATGCCATATTGGCTTCAGAAACCGCCAGAAGCTTCTGTTTACCACAGAGAGCGTTTGATTTGATCCGTTCTCCTCTACCTTTCCTGGCTGGCAAAGTACCAGGATGTTGTCTCTGGTTTTAAATCTGAATTTAGAGAACTGAATTTGAAAACTGAATCTGAATGCATCTGAGAGGTTGAACATACAGTGGGGAGAACAAGTATTTGATACACTGCCGATTTTGCAGGTTTTCCTACTTACAAAGCATGTAGAGGTCTGTAATTTTTATCATAGGTACACTTCAACAGTGAGAGACGTAATCTAAAACAAAAATCCAGAAAATCACATTGTATGATTTTTAAGTAATTAATTTGCATTTTATTGCATGACATAAGTATTTGATCACCTACCAACCAGTAAGAATTCCGGCTCTCACAGACCTGTTAGTTTTTCTTTAAGAAGCCCTCCTGTTCTCCACTCATTACCTGTATTAACTGCACCTGTTTGAACTCGTTACCTGTATAAAAGACACCTGTCCACACACTCAATCAAACAGACTCCAACCTCTCCACAATGGCCAAGACCAGAGAGCTGTGTAAGGACAGGGATAAAATTGTAGACCTGCACAAGGCTGGGATGGGCTACAGGACAATAGGCAAGCAGCTTGGTGAGAAGGCAACAACTGTTGGTGCAATTATTAGAAAATGGAAGAAGTTCAAGATGACGGTCAATCAACCTCGGTCTGGGGCTCCATGCAAGATCTCACCTCGTGGGGCATCAATGATCATGAGGAAGGTGAGGGATCAGCCCAGAACTACACGGCAGGACCTGGTCAATGACCTGAAGAGAGCTGGGACCACAGTCTCAAAGAAAACCATTAGTAACACACTACGCCGTCATGGATTAAAATCCTGCAGCGCACACAAGGTCCCCCTGCTCAAGCCAGCGCATGTCCAAGCCCGTCTGAAGTTTGCCAATGACCATCTGGATGATCCAGAGGAGGAATGGGAGAAGGTCATGTGGTCTGATGAGACAAAAATAGAGCTTTTTGGTCTAAACTCCACTCGCCGTGTTTGGAGGAAGAAGAAGGATGAGTACAACCCCAAGAACACCATCCCAACCGGGAAGCATGGAGGTGGAAACATCATTCTTTGGGGATGCTTTTCTGCAAAGGGGAGAGGACGACTGCACCGTATTGAGGGGAGGATGGATGGGGCCATGTATCGCGAGATCTTGGCCAACAACCTCCTTCCCTCAGTAAGAGCATTGAAGATGGGTCGTGGCTGGGTCTTCCAGCATGACAACGACCCGAAACACACAGCCAGGGCAACTAAGGAGTGGCTCCGTAAGAAGCATCTCAAGGTCCTGGAGTGGCCTAGCCAGTCTCCAGACCTGAACCCAATAGAAAATCTTTGGAGGGAGCTGAAAGTCCGTATTGCCCAGTGACAGCCCCGAAACCTGAAGGATCTGGAGAAGGTCTGTATGGAGGAGTGGGCCAAAATCCCTGCTGCAGTGTGTGCAAACCTGGTCAAGACCTACAGGAAACGTATGATCTCTGTAATTGCAAACAAAGGTTTCTGTACCAAATATTAAGTTCTGCTTTTCTGATGTATCAAATACTTATGTCATGCAATCAAATGCAAATGAATTACCGGTACTTAAAAATCATACAATGTGATTTTCTGGATTTTTGTTTTAGATTCCGTCTCTCACAGTTGAAGTGTACATATGATAAAAATTACAGACCTCTACATGCTATGTAAGTAGGAAAACCTGCAAAATCGGCAGTGTATCAAATACTTGTTCTCCCCACTGTATGAAACTTTGATAAACCTTAAATGATAGTTTGTAAACTTGATACAGACAATGAATGCAATATATACCATATTGAAATGAAACAAATATCTGTTTGAATATTAAATTAAATTGAAATAAATTTTAAAACAATGCAATATTCATTCAATTCAGTTTCAAATCATGAAATACACGTTCAATTTATGAATTCAATGATTCAATGTGCATTACAAATTCTAAAATATTGAATTCAAATTCAATATCCTAATACAAATTCAAAATGATGGAATTCAAATGCAATTTCTGTTGGCACTGACATCGCTCCATAGCTGCTCCAGAATCTCCCACACATGTTCAGTTGGGTTGAGATCTGGTGACTGAGGCACACACCATTTAAACCCCCTATGCTCCTTTGACACCACAAAGTCACTGAGATCTCTTCTTCTAGCTATGGTATCCAAAATGATGGGTAACTGGGCATTGTCATACATGACCTTATGCTAGAGTCCTGCATGGGTCTGTTTTTTTGAGCTGCACCCGCCCCGTGCCGGCCACATCAATTCCGAGCCCCACCCAATACCCGACATCAGGGAAAATGTATCTCCAACCTGACCCACCCGCATAGAATTGTTCCGAGAGCCGATCCGTGACCCGCCAAATAACATCAATTTATTTAATTGTTTTTATGACTCCAGGCTATTAGGCTATTCCCCTTCCCTGCCTGAATTAATTTGTCTGCATGTCTATCCAACATTTGGACAAAAGGAAACCCTGCCATGAATTAATACGATGCGGCAAATTATCAACTCAAATCGCTTTGAAAAAAATAAGAGCTTTCTAATGATCCTTCTTACCTAATGAAAGCCTATAGCCAACATAAGAAAACCTTTACATTCAATATTGCTTAGATCATCAAATAAACATTTTAATTGAAACTTAAATAGATAATTTAGAGAATCAAATAGGCTATGGGCTGCAAAAATAGCCTACATTTATCCTCAAAGTTTTACCAGCCGCACAGGTTAAAACTTTTTGCCTGCAAATGGTCTGAACGAAAGCCTGAATTACTGTAATAATTAACTGAATTATCGCAAACAAATACCTGCTTTTTGCAGGCTGTGTATCTAGGCGTAGGCTACTATGCAATACAAGCTCCTGGATTTGTAAAACGTTTATTATCTTGATTTAAAACATTCCGACCCGCAATATATTTGTTCTGAACCGCATGCCGACCCGCGGGTTGAAATGTTTTCGTTCCACCCGCGGGTCATCCGCGGGGAACTGTAGGTATCCGATCCGATGCAGGACTTTACCCTAAGCTTAATTAATGGAAAAATCCACCCAAAACCAATCATTCCTATAATTTACAGTGTTAAATAACACTAATTTGTTAGAATAATATTTTTTGTGAACACATTTTGTCGTTATAATAAGGTTGACAGCAACGTGAAAATTGTTGTGGAAATTTGTTGCAGTTCAAGTCGACTACAAAACCCACAATGCAATGCTCTATATGGACTGGCTGGGCAGCAAGCAAACGCAGCTACACACACAATAATACCAAAGTCAATATCAGCATGTGAAGTAGCTAATTAGCTGTAAAATCGCCTAAACAAACTGCACTTTCAGAGTCTACAATCTCACCATGTTGAACCTGCAGATAGATGTGCCTCGCAGAGTGGAGTCTGACATTCGCAACGGCACCATGCAATGCACTCTGGACTGAAGAGGCAGACAAATAGGAGAAATGTGGTGGACTCTCTTAAATTACACATTTCGAGGTAGGAATATTGCAAAAATATGATCAATGGCTCATTCGAGAGAAGACAACCTCCCGCGTTATGACATCGGCCAGTATTGAAATCGGACATTTTCGCGACCTAAAAGTCTTCCTATTAACTTCCAGTGTAGTGAGAGCGGATTAAACGCAATGCTACGTCATACCGGCTGAATTTCTGCCTGCTTGAACAGCAATAGCTCAGATACACATTAAAACATGAAATAACCCCGGGAATCAATGGAACATCGCTCAGAGATGCACAAAAACAGTATAACATTCAAAATGGGTAAATCGTTCCTTTAACGCAGGAACCACACCTGTGTGGAAGCACCTTCTTTCAATATACTTTGTATCCCTCATTTACTCAAGTGTTTCCTTCATTTTGACAGTTACCTGTACATGTAGTAGGGTTGGGCGGTATCCAGATTATCATACCGTTTCTGTACCATACCGGGGTATACAGTGTTACCGGAAGTGCACACAAGGGGCGCTATAGAAAATTAATAGAAAATTGGGGGGACGCACAAAACAATTTAGGCAACAGGGATCTTGATCCAGGAAGGGATTTAATGTCTCTAGTCTGGGTACCAGTCATTTTAGCTAACATTCAACTCATTGCCACTCCATGTCATTGCCAAAGAGACTGGCGTTTATTTTGATGGTCTGGTTTCGTCTGGACAAACAAAAAATGGTTGCTTAACAACCGGATACCAATGTGTTCTGTGGAGAGAAAAAAGTGATAGAGTTCCAATATTTTGATAATTGTTGTGATTAGAGGATAGCTGTGAGGGTTATCGAGTCAGGATGAACTCCTCTGTTCTCCTCGAGCTCATTAATTATGGAATGTTCATATATGAAGATGGCAGAAAGGCCAGTCTCTTTAGCAATGACAAGGAGTGGCAGGAGTGGAATGTTAGCTAAAGAGACTGGTACTCAGGCTAGAATGACTGCTGTAACCAAAAAGCTTGATCTTGACAACTAGCCACATTGCAAACGAAATGCAAAGCTGGAGCCCTGAGCTGGATATAATTTATTTGACACATCTTCGATTTCTTACAGTTACACTTAACGTATCGTTATAGGCAGTGGTGTAGCCCCCCGAGTTACTTTTTTTCTTTCTTAATTTTATTGAAAATCATACCATTGGTATTTGGAAATACCCTGGTATACGGTATAAACAGTTTATTGCCCAAGCCTAACATGTAGTCATTATAACATGGTAACAGCTCCTTACCAGGGTGGCTGCGGTAGGCTCCAGGCGAGTTGTCCAGGATGACTACGCTAGATAGATCGTTGTGCACCACAGAAAGATCTTTAATATAACTACCCAGATCCAATGTACAGTGCTAGATAGAGAATAAAAAAAGAGTGATAAACTTGAGTTTTATATGTTGCAAAAGAGTGATAAGTCTAACTGTACATAGAGAGAACCTCTAAATAATGACAGAGACATTCAGAATTTTCATTGAAAGTGCTTTTTAGGGTAGGATGAGGCATAATCTGTATCCGGGAAACCAGCCCTCAGAGTGTAAGACTGAGCAGGGTGCATAACTGCACAGAGCTGAAGTGAACCAGTGAGTGGGTTTGTTTACCTGTCTGTAGTATCTTCGTTTCAGGATGTCCCTGTCTAGCTTGTCAGACACGGCTGAGCCATATATTTCCATACTGGCCGTGAAAACCACCAGCTCATACCACTGACTCACCTAAAACAATAGAGGAGTTACATCTCACACAAACAGCCAAGAGAGCTCCAAACAAATGTGCACAAAATAATTAGAAATAATAAACAAAATAGATTAACTGTATAGTCCACAACCCCAAAATGAAAATGTATTGATTGCTAGCTCAATACACTTTTTACAAATAAATGTGTCCTCATAACGGTTGTCAAATTTCCCCTACCCTGACTGACAGTCCCCCTCTTCCTATCACCAAGCACCATTCCCTGTCCAATTCCCCTCCAGCAGAGCCGGGACTTCAGCTCCTTCACCAGCTTTAAATACACACACCTGTCCCTAATCAGTGTGGCGAGTGTGGTAAAACTGAGAAGACACTGTCTGTCATTGAGTTTTGAAGCAGCCTACCTGACAAAGTCATGTTAGGATATGTCAGTTATCCTGTGAGAGCTTTTGTGCCGAACCCATTAAAGTGTTTCAGATGCCAAGCTTATGGTCATGTTGCAGCAGTGTGTAGGAAGGAGGTTCCGAGATGTGAGAAGTGTGCAGGAGAGCATGGGACAAAGAAATGTGTAGTATCAGTGGAAAAAACTGTAAATTGTCGGGGTGCCCATGTTGCTGGCGATCAGAAGTGCCCAGTGTGAGAGAGACAGGTTGAGGCTGCCAGGGTCAGAGTAGAACAGAAGGTGTCATATGCTGAGGCTGTGAAGAGTAGAGCAGGGTTTTGTTTGTTTTTCCCTAGCACTACACAGCTGATTCAAACAATCAACTAATCGTCAAGCCTTTAGAATTTCAAATCAGCTGTGTAGGTGTTAGGGCAAATACCAAATCGTGCACCCCTTGGGGTCCCGAGGACCGAGTTTGGGAAACGCTGGAGTAGAGGATAGGTCAAAGGTGAGTACTAGGCCTTGGGCAATACAAAGTGATACGAATTTCTGCTTCGGTAAGGTTTGCTTCTTCTTGCCATGGTTATCAACTGTACCGCAAAAATAGAATGGAAATCACAGAAAATAGATGTGGTGGCAGCCGCAGAGAAGTATTTGGGTGTACGAGGGTTTACTGCAAAATAATTACAAGGTGTGTGGAACGAAAGAGTCCTGTCCTCCCAGGCCGTTGGCCTGGTATAAGATCAGTTACGGTCATTAGTAGTGTAATGGGGTGGTGTTTTTATCATTTTTAGGAAATAGTGGTATAGACAGTGTACAAAACACCTGCTCTTTCCATGACATAGACTGACCAGGTGAAAGATATGATCCCTTATTGATGTCACTTGTTAAATCCACTTCACTCAGTGTAGATGAAGGGGAGAAGACAGGTTAAAGAAGGATTTTTAAGTCTTGAGACCATTGAGACATTGATTGTTTGTGTACCATTCAGAGGGTGAATGGGCAAGACAGAATATTTAAGTGCGGGGTATGGTAGTAGATGCCAGGCACACCAGTTTGAATGTTTCAAGAACTGCAACGTTGCTGGGCTTTTCACACTCAACAGTTTCCCATGTGTATCACGAATGGTCCACCACCCAAAGGACATCCAGCCAATTTGAAAGCTGTGGGAAGGAAGCATTGGACATCAACATGGGCCAGCATCCCTGTGGAATGCTTTTAAATAATAAATAATAAGCCATTTAGCAGACGCTTTTATCCAAAGCGACTTACGGTCATGTGTGCATAAATTTTTACGTATGGGTGGTCCCGGGGATCGAACCCACTACCCTGGTGTTACAAGCGCCATGCTCTACCAATTGCGCTACAGAGGACCACACTTATGACACCTTGTAGAGTCCATACCCCGACGAATTGAGGCTGTTCTGAGGGCAACAGGGGTTGCAACTCAATATTAGGAAGGTGTTGGTAATGTTTAGTACACTCAGAGTAGGGTTAGTTGGTGGTCCTTTTTATTTTTGTATCACAAAATGTAATGTGATCGACTACACACTCCCACACAGTAGGTAGTGGCATGAACAAACAAAATGTGCGAACGCCATGATACCAAAGAAAAAGAAGAAGCATCAGCGTGGCAGACCTTACCTTTTCAGTTTGCAAGTGTTTGTTACAAGACACCTTTTCTCTTGTAACCTTTCCTTTGTGTTTTGGATGCATTTATTGACCTCGTAAGTTCTTATTTCTTGATTTGTATTATAATGTGATTGAGAACATTTACTGTTACTAATTTATATTTGTTTACCATTTATATTTATTTTACTCACGTTTTAACCCATTGCTTAAGTTTCACTCCTGTGATATTCCTTTGAAATGTTATGAGATTTATGAGTACATTTATATGCATTTTTATTTTTATTTTTTCTAGGGGTAGATCAGCTTTAATATTGCAGATAGATTGTAACTTACATCAATGTAATTGTCTGCATCACTTCCAATCCCCCATGTTTTATTTTCTCGCAAATATATATATATATACACACACATATACAGTTTAAGTCGGAAGTTTACATACACCTTAGCCAAATACATTTAAACTCAGTTTTTCACAATTCCTCACATTTAATCCTAGTAAAAATCCCGTCTTAGGTCAGTTAGGATCACCACTTTATTGCCATATTACCATTTTGCCACAACTTTGGAAGTATGCTTGGGGTCATTGTCCATTTGGAAGATCCATTTGCGACCAAGCTTTAAAACTTCCTGACTGATGTCTTGAGATGTTGCTTCAATATATCCACATAATTTTCCTTCCCCATGATGCCATCTATTTTGTGAAGTGCACCAGACCCTCCTGCAGCAAAGCACCCCCGCAGCATGATGCTGCCACCCCCGTGCTTCACGGTTGGGATGGTGTTCTTCGGCTTGCAAGCCCCCCCTCCCCCTCCAAACATAATGATGGTCATTATGGCCAAACAGTTCTATTTTTGTTTCATCAGACCAGAGAACATTTCTCCAAAAAGTACAATCTTTGTCCCCATGTGCAGTTGCAAACCGTAGTCTGGCTTTTTTAATGGCGGTTTTGGAGCAGTGGCTTCTTCCTTGCTGAGCGGCCTTTCAGGTTATGTCGATATAGGACTCGTTTTACTGTGGATATAGATACTTTTGTACCTGTTTCCTCCAGCATCTTCACAAGGTCCTTTGCTGTTGTTCTGGGATTGATTTGCACTTTTCGCACCAAAGTACATTAATCTCTAGGATCCAGAACGCGTCTCCTTCCTGAGCGGCATGACGGCCGCATGGTCCCATGGTGTTTATACTTGCATACTATTGTTTGTACAGATGAACGTGGTACCTTCAGGCATTTGTAAATTGCTCCCAAGGATGAACCAGACTTGTGGAGGTCTACCATTTTTTTTCCTGAGGTCTTGGCTGATTTATTTTGATTTTCCCATGATGTCAAGCAAAGAGGCACTGAGTTTGAAGGTAGGCCTTGAAATACATCCACAGGTACAACTCCAATTGACTCAAATGATGTCAATTAGCCTATCAGAAGCTTCTAAGGCCATGACATCATTTACTGGAACTTTCCAAGCTGTTTAAAGGCACAGTCAACTTAGTGTAAGTAAACTTCTGACCCACTGGAATTGTGAAACAGTGAATTGTAAGTGAAATAATCTGTCTGTAAACAATTGTTGGAAAAATTACTTGTGTCATGCACAAAGTAGATGTCCTAACCGACTTGCCAAAACTATAGTTTGTTAACAAGAAATTTGTGGAGTGGTTGAAAAACGAGTTTTATTACTCCAACCTAAGTGTATGTAAACTGTACATACATACATACATATATATACATACACACACACACATACACTCAGCAAAAAAAGAAACGTCCCTTTTTCAGGACCCTGTCTTCCAAAGATAATTAGTACAATTCCAAATAACTTCACAGATCTTCATTGTAAAGGGTTTAAACACGGTTTCCCATGCTTGTTCAATGAACCATAAACAATTAATGAACATGCACCTGTGGAACAGTCGTTAAGACACTAACAGCTTACAGACGGTATGCAATTAAGGTCACAGTTACGAAAACTTAGGACACTAAAGAGGCCCTTCTACTGACTCTGAAAAAACTCCAAAAGAAAGATGCCCAGGGTCCCTGCTCATCTGCGTGAACGTGCCTTAGGCATGCTGCAAGGAGGCATGAGGACTGCAGATGTGGCCAGGGCAATAAATTGCAATGTCCGTACTGTGAGACGCATAAGACAGCGCTACAGGGAGACCATGTGTAACAACACCTGCACAGGATCGGTACATCCAAACATCACACCTGCGGGACAGGTACCGGATGGCAACAACAACTGCCCGAGTTACACCAGGAACGCACAATCCCTCCATCAGTGCTCAGACTGTCCGCAATAGGCTGAGAGAGGCTGGACTGAGGGCTTGTAGGCCTGTTGTAAGGCAGGTCCTCACCAGACATCACAGGCAACAACGTCGCCTATGGGCACAAACCCACCGTCGCTGGACCAGACAGGACTGGCAAAAAGTGCTCTTCACTGACGAGTCACGGTTTTGTCTCACCAGGGGTGATGGTCGGATTCGCGTTTATCGTCGAAGGAATGAGCGTTACACCGAGGCCTGTACTCTGGAGCGGGATCGATTTGGAGGTGGGGGATCCGTCATGGTCTGGGGCGGTGTGTCACAGCATCATCGGACTGAGCATGTTGTCATTGCAGGTAATCTCAACGTTGTGCGTTACAGGGAAGACATCCTCCTCCCTCATGTGGTACCCTTCCTGCGGGCTCATCCTGACATGACCCTCCAGCATGACAATGCCACCAGCCATACTGCTCGTTCTGTGCGTGATTTCCTGCAAGACAGGAATGTTAGTGTTCTGCCATGGCCAGCGAAGAGCCCGGATCTCAATCCCATTGAGCATGTCTGGGACCTGTTGGATCGGAGGGCTAGGGCCATTCCCCCCAGAAATGTCAGGGAACTTGCAGGTGCCTTGGTGGAAGAGTGGGGTAACATCTCACAGCAAGAACTGGCAAATCTGGTGCAGTCCATGAGGAGGAGATGCACTGTAGTACTTAATGCAGATGGTGGCCACACCAGATACTGACTGTTACTTTTGATTTTGACCCCCCCTTTGTTCAGGGACACATTATTCCATTTCTGTTAGTCATGTCTGTGGAACTTGATCAGTTTATGTCTCAGTTGTTGAATCTTGTTATGTTCATACAAATATTTACACATGTTAAGTTTGCTGAAAATAAACGCAGTTGACAGTGAGAGGACGTTTCTTTTTTTGCTGAGTTTATATACACATATCCTTTAAAAAAAAAAATATTTCCCTTTATTACTTTCCAACCCCACCACCCCTTCCCTAATTTGAGTAAACTAGTGAACAACAATGCTTAGGCCTCTACTTCCAACTTATACATACTATATACATTTTATGGACACAGTCAATTTTACAATAATTCTATTTTGTTTGTTCTTACTCCTGAACTTCCTCTAACCTCAACCTCTCCGATCATTTTCATGATGTCCATTTGCATTTGTTTTACCTTATATCAAAATCACTCATGTATTTTTTTCTTTCCTTGTTTTCCCAGTTAACCATCCTTTTACCGAAATCGTCCTAATATCCACTCATCCTGCAATATAATTTCATGATTTAAACTGCAATAATAAAACAGGCACCAGCCCATTTAAGTGCCATCCTCCTCTCTGTGTTTTAATGGACACCACCACGATAGCCTCAAACATCAAGATACAGTCCTTTATTCAAACCACAACTCTAACCAGTTTTTGGCACCAAGAAACACTGCAGAGAGAATAAACAAGATGCTAACAAAAAAGTATTTAGCTGCTTGAAATCCTACAACCAAAGCTTATTTGAATAGCCAATTAATCCTCCATAATGTTCATACTTGCTACGATATTTTACTTATTTGGATGTTGACAACAGGCCAATCACTTACCACTTCTAAGAAGAAGTCCACATGTGGTCTTTTATGTACAGAAAACCTGACAGGATGTTTGTCGATTACCACCTTCATGGGAGAGAAAGGAGAGAATATGAATAAAAGAGAACTGGTAAGGTTAGGAGACTCATTCCTGGACTGAATGAGTGAACAATGAGTGTGAGTCAGTCTGGTGTGTGTGTGTTGACAAGGTGACAGCACAACGCTAATTAAATCAGTCAGACAGTGAACATCCAGGCCAATACCTTTAGGATGAAGTCCGGTGGAGTGCCTGGTCTCACTTTGGGTCTAACCACCCCATCATGGTGGGAGTGGATTAGGGTCTCGTCAAGGTCCAGCACCAGAATCTTCCTCTTGACTGCATCTGATGAGCAAGAGCCCAAGTCCAATTACAGTCAAAATCACAGAGAGAGAAAACTAAATAAGTAACATTTCAAAGCCATAGATCTCTGGTCTCTAGCCTGGTCCAACATCTATTTGTTCAGTAATACCAACAACTCCTACTGTCATAGCCTGGTCCCAGATCTGTTTGTTTTGTAGCAGAAACCCTTACTTTCAATGTCATGACAACGACAATAATAGTTTAGACTTCACACATATTAATCAAACAGGGTTTATTAAAAATAGACATTTACAAACAAATACAAGAACATGTTTCAGTACGATACAATACGCTAAAAAACAAGATATAGATTTATCAATAATGGCTGTTGATGTCAAAGGCTTTCGACAGTCTTGAATGGTATTTTTCTCTTCAAAACTTTGCAAGCCTTCCAGCTGAAATATAAATGTAATAAAAATATTATAAATATCCTAAAGCAAAAATATACACAAATAATACATTATCATCTGAAATTGCTTTAGAAAGGGGCGCAAGACAGAGATGTCTTCTCTCCCCTCTCCTGTTTGCACTGGCAATTGCAGAAAGAATTAGACAGGACCCAAACCTAACAGCTATCAGTATTGGTAAACATGAATATAAACTAAACTTATTTGCCGATGATCTCCTGATATACCTGACCAATATTGAAAATTCAATGCCCCCTTTGTTAAAAACATTTTCATTACACTAAAATCTCAGGATATAAAACTAACATGTAAAAAAACGGAAATAATGGCAATAGGTAAAATAAAAAGAATAACTCATGATCTACAGCAATCCGTTAAGTGGACCACAAACAAATATTAAATACTTAGGATGCTTAATAAGAAACAACAAACAAATATAAAAAGACACATTTATCCCATTACTCAACAATATGAAAGCAGATCTATTTAAAATGGAACAATCTTCCCATAAATCTTACAGGTAGAATAAACCTCTTCAGAATGGCATGGCTCCCAAAGTTTTTATATTTATTCTCGGTAATACCAATTACCCCACTGAAGACATACTTTAAAAAGTATACTCTGCCATAAGTCTTTATGGGCAAATAAAACTCAGAATAAAAGTTCACATCTCCCTAAGTCTGAGGGTGGTTTTACCCTCTCAGACTTGGAATTGTATCAACTCACCACCCAAGGCTTTTACTTGAGACATATTGTTAAATGCACTAAAGAGGCCTCCTGAGTGGCGCAGCGGTCTAAGGCAGTGCTTGAGGCTTCACTACAGCCCCGGGTTCGATCCCAGGCTGTGTCACAGCCGGCACACAATTGGCCCAGCGTCGTCTGGGTTAGGGGAGGGTTTGGCTGGCCGGGATTTCCTTATCCTATCGCACTCTAGCGACTCCTTGTGGCGGGCTGGACGCCTGCAAGCTGACTTCGGTTGCCAGTTGTACGTGTTTCCTCCGACACATTGGTTGCGGCTGGCTTCCGGGTTAAGTGAGCAGTGCGGCTTGGCAGGGTCATGTTTCAGAGGACACATGGCTCTCGACCTTAGCCTCTCCCGAGTCCGTAGGGGAGTTGCAGCGATGGGACAAGACTGTAACTACCAATTGGATATCACGAAATTGGGAGAAAAAGGGGTAACAAAAAATGCACTAAAGAGGAACAATGGGTACATATTGAAGATACCCGATGGGTTGGACGATACTCTTCTCGTCAATTATCCTGGTTAAAAAAAAACATACTTAAGTGGAAAACAACCAATCCTGAATCATTAAGACAATGGAAAAATCATATGCTTCATTATCTAAATATTGTAAGAGTGTGGGCGACGGAGGAACAAAATGGTGCAATAAGAGGACGTGGCAGAGAGTTGTGCAGGCACTGGAGATAGGGGTGAGAACAAGTGGGTCTGGGCAAGTGTGATGTTCGTGTGTATCTGTATGTTGTCTTTTGTATGTGTGTTTTGTACATTAAAACATTACAAACAGATCTGGGACCAGGCTAAGACCCTTTGACCTTCTTTTAGACACTGAAAGTGAAAGGATACTTACTGAGTCTGTTTCTGGACACAGGCGACAGAGGTAATGTGTCATAACGCACTGTTTGGTACTGGATTACCTGCAAAGGTAGAGATGAGGAACTGTCACAATTGAGAAACTGAAAAATGACAAAATTCAAAACATTTAACTTGTCAAAAATATTTTGGGGATAAACACAATAGGCCATTTGTTAAATACATTGTGGAGCAATACCAGTGTGCCGGAGTGTCTTTATATATTTTTTATATTGAGGGTTTTCTCTCTATGCATCTGGAACTAGGCCTACATCAGTTGTGTGACCTGAACAACCCTCTCTGATGGGTTCCAGACAGATTAGATTAGACAGCTATAGTAGTCCTCCTCCAGGACTCACTTCAATTTGCCCTCTGCACCTGGGCTATATTTAACACACATACACGAGCACACGTAAACATCCTCAGCTGTCAAGGACTGTCATACAGGCACACAACCATAGCAAAGGCAAAGGGGTAGTTTGTTTCAAGGTGGCCTTGTGAGGCCTTTGTGCGCAGACAGATATAGTAGGATACTTTAGCTTGTACTGTAGAGCTGATCAATACTCCTGCTCACAGTTACCATGCTTTATTGACAGAATGTTCAGGGTGCCTTGCTGGGTGAACACTGTGTAAGGTCTGTATTATAAAAGCTATTGCTTTCTCTTTTTCTACCTATATTGGTTTGGTTCTTCTGCAAAAGGTTGCAATAGGATCAGCTGAACAATGGATTGAGTACCTAATAGGGCTTACCACACTGATTATAGTTGGCTCGTTAAACATACATAAATAACGCTCTTACTCAAGTGGTTACATAAAACAGGGAAAGGTTATCATAATGGGTTGTTTGTCTGAAGAGCCATAATTAAATCTGAACAAATGGGAAGCTTTAGGTTACACTATAGTAAGTCAACAGAGAGGGAATAATATACGACAATCTCTCCAGCAAGCATTTCTACTAGGCTATAAACAATTTAACTAAACTGGTAATAAAATATTTGAATAAAAATGATTACCATCCTATGAGAGGACTTTGTTTCGGTATTGTAAAATGACAGAATTTGCACTTGTGTAAAACGTGGTCAGATTCAGATGTTCTGGTTTACGCACTGCTCTTCCTGGTCCTCTTGCAACTCAAATATGAAATAACTAATATTTCAGTGTATACAGTCACCAGCTCTGCTTAGTTACACCTGAAACACCTAAAACCACATCTAAAGTCCAATCACCATAGCTATACACTGTCAAACACTGTCCATGACAGATGTCTGAGAGAACAACTCTGTGCTTTTGCACCTTTTGGTTTCCTAGCATAAGCAAAACCAATAAGTAAAGAAGTTATTTCTATAGGTGTCAGTGTATACTGACAGTCAAATAGTTGTGGGTACTAGTGATGCGCAGGTTGACTCATTACCCGCAGTCCCCGCAGTTATATCCGTGTGGGCGGCAGGTTTTAAGGTCACGAAATATTGTGTGGATGAAGGGTGGCGGGTGGGTTGAATACAGAGAAAACAATGCATTAAAAATGCATACATGTACAGCGCCTTGCAAAAGTATTCATCCCCCTTGGCGTTTTTCCTATTTTGTTACATTACAACCTGTAATTTAAATGGATTTGGATTTGGATTTCATGTAATGGACATACACAAAATAGTCAAAATTGGTGAAGTGAAATGAAAAAAATAACTTGCGTGCATATGTATTCACCCCCTTTGCTATGAAGACCCTAAATAAGATCTGGTGCAACCAATTACCTTCAGATTGCTGTATACCAGCGGAACCCATCCAACTTGAAGGAGCTGGAGCAGTTTTGCTTTGAAGAATGGGCAAAAATACCAGTGGCTAGATGTGCCAAGCTTATAACCCAAGAGACTTGCAGCTGTAATTGCTGCAAAAGGTGGCTCTACAAAGTATTGACTTTGGGGGGGCTGAATAGTTATGCACGATCATGTTTTCAGTTTTTGTATCTTATTTCTTGTTTGTTTCACAAGAAAACATATTTTGCATCTTCAAAGTGGTAGGCATGTTGTGTAAATCAAATAATACAAACCCCCAAAAACTCAATTTTAATTCCAGGTTGTAAGGCAACAAAATAGGAAAAATGCCAAGGGGGTGAATACTTTCGCAAGCCACTGTATAATTCTTGTACAATTTATATCTATAGGCGACATGGACGTTTTTCTTTCATTCATTTTTATCTGCCGTTAGTGCATAGCCTTAGCCTAAGCTTTAGGGCCAAATACATGCCAATTGCCAAAAGCTTTTGGGAACTTGGGCAGAAAACGTTAACCTCGATCCATTGAGGCAAAAACAACAAAGTCAGAGTTTAATTCAATAAGAGAAGTATAAAATAAATAGAAGTGAGCCCCAGAACAGTAGTCTGTTTGGTTAAGACTTGGTGAAGTGGTAAAAGAGGATGTAATGTGTGATGCTAGACAAATTTGACAGTCACAAGACGGGGACTTCAAAATGGCATATAATATGCCATTTAGCAGACACTTTTATCCAAAGCGACTTACAGTCATGTGTGCATACATTTTTACGTATGGGTGGTCCCGGGGATCGAACCCACTACCCTGGTGTTACAAGCGCCATGCTCTACCAATTGAGCTACAGAGGACCACAAGGGGGGACTGAACTGTTCCAGCCTGGTCTCATAAACTAGACGTATCATAGTAAATGTAAATCCAGGACACTCAAATTAGTAAGTTATGTAACCATACCAAATGTAACATAAGACAGGTTTACTTAAGGAACACACAAAAGTAGGTTGGTTGGTCGAGGTGGATGGGTGGACCTATAACACGAACGTCTAGCAACCCTAAGGTTGCGTGTTCAAATCTCATCATGGACAACTTTAGCATTTTAACTGATTAAGAACTTTGCAACTACTTACTACCTTTTAGCTACTTAGCAACTACTTTTTTTTTTTTTTTTTTTTTTAGGGGGTAGATCATCTTTAATATTTCAGATAGATTGTAACTTCCATCAATGTAATTGTCTGCATCACTTCCAATTCCCCATGTTTTTTTTCCTCATATATATATATATATATATATATATATATATATATACACATACATACATATACACATACACAGTGAGGGAAAAAAAGTATTTGCTCCCCTGCTGATTTTGTACATTTGCCCACTGACAAAGAAATGATCAGTCTATAATTTTAATGGTAGGTTTATTTGAACAGTGAGAGACAGAATAACAACAAAGAAACCCAGAAAAACGCATGTCAAAAATGTTATAAATTGATTTGCATTTTAATGAGGGAAATAAGTATTTGACCCCCTCTCAATCAGATAGATTTCTGGCTCCCATGTGTCTTTTATACAGGTAACGAGCTGAGATTAGGAGCACACTCTTAAAGGGAGTGCTCCTAATCTCAGCTTGTTACCTTTATAAAAAGGCACCTGTCCACAGAAGCAATCAATCAGATTCCAAACTCTCCACCATGGCCAAGACCAAAGAGCTCTCCAAGGATGTCAGGGACAAGATTGTAGACCTACACAAGGCTGGAATGGGCTACAAGACCATCGCCAAGCAGCTTGGTGAGAAGGTGACAACAGTTGGTGCGATTATTCGCAAGTGGCAGAAACACAAAAGACTGTCAATCTCCCTCGGCTTGGGGCTCCATGCAAGATCTCACCTCGTGGAGTTGCAATGATCATGAGAACGGTGAGGAATCAGCCCAGAACTACACAGGAGGATCTTGTCAATGATCTCAAGGCAGCTGGGACCATAGTCACCAAGAAAACAATTGGTAACACACTACGCCGTGAAGGACTGAAATCCTGCAGCGCCCGCAAGGTCCCCCTGCTCAAGAAAGCACATATACATGCCCGTCTGAAGTTTGCCAATGAACATCTGAATGATTCAGAGGAGAACTGGGTGAAAGTGTTGTGGTCAGATGAGACCAAAATCGAGCTCTTTGGCATCAACTCAACTCGCCGTGTTTGGAGGAGGAGGAATGCTGCCTATGACCCCAAGAACACCATCCCCACCGTCAAACACGGAGGTGGAAACATTATGCTTTGGGGGTGTTTTTCTGCTAAGGGGACAGGACAACTTCACCGCATCAATGGGACGATGGACGGGGCCATGTACCGTCAAATCTTGTGTGAGAACCTCCTTCCCTCAGCCAGGGCATTGAAAATGGGTCGTGGATGGGTATTCCAGCATGACAATGACCCAAAACACACGGCCAAGGCAACAAAGGAGTGGCTAAAGAAGAAGCACATTAAGGTCCTGGAGTGGCCTAGCCAGTCTCCAGACCTTAATCCCATAGAAAATCTGTGGAGGGAGCTGAAGGTTCGAGTTGCCAAACGTCAGCCTCGAAACCTTAATGACTTGGAGAAGATCTGCAAAGAGTAGTGGGACAAAATCCCTCCTGAGATGTGTGCAAACCTGGTGGCCAACTACAAGAAACGTCTGACCTCTGTGATTGCCAACAAGGGTTTTGCCACCAAGTACTAAGTCATGTTTTGCAGAGGGGTCAAATACTTATTTCCCTCATTAAAATGCAAATCAATTTATTTATGCATTATACATTTATGACGTGTTTTTCTGGATTTTTTTGTTTTTATTCTGTCTCTCACTGTTCAAATAAACCTACCATTAAAATTATAGACTGATCATGTCTTTGTTAGTGGGCAAACGTACAAAATTAGCAGGGGATCAAATACTTTTTTCCCCTCACTGTACATACATATATCCATACACACACACATCCTTTTTTAAATTATATTTTCCCTTCATTACTTTCCAACCCCACCACCCCTTCCCCAATTGGAGTAAGCTAGTGAACAACAACGATTAGGCCTCTACTTCCAGCCCATACATACTATATACATTTTATGGACACAGTCAAATTCTACAATAATTATATTTACTTAACATGTTAGCTAAACCTTCACCTAAACCTTTAACCTAACTCCTAACCTTAAGCCCTAGCCTAGCTAACGTTAGCTACGTCACTAACGTTAGCATTAGCCACCTAATTGGAATTCGTAACAATGTACAAATTACAATTCGTAACATATCGTACGAATTGTAATTC